CCACGTCGCTCCCCCTGCTGTCATCAGCTCTCTTAACTTTTCACTGCAGTCTGATGGGTCTGCTGCTGCAGCAGAATTCACTCGGAGAATTCAGCCATCTGCAGTGGGAGGGAGCTCATTGCAGATGGCTGCAGGCCGGACCTATTCTGCCTTCCCCGTTCAACCCTGCCCTCCGCCTCTTCTCCCAGCTCTCTCCTTCCTCACCTGCCCATTTTTTTAGTTTTATCTGCCGTCCACGGCAGTGTCTTTTGCCTTTTAGGATGGCCTGCTCTTCCCTATCCAGACTCCAGACATTTTTTGCTCATGCTAGAGTCATTACTGCCTTTTTTTAACTGTGTCACACACGGACATGGACACAGATTAGAATAGTCATCCATCCATCCATCCATTGTCCTCCGCTTATCCGGGGTCGGGTCGCGGGGGCAGCAGCCGGAGCAGGGAAACCCAGACTTCCCTCTCCCCGGCCACTTCGGCCAGCTCCTCCGGGGGGATCCCGAGGCGTTCCCAGGCCAGCCGGGACACATAGTCCCTCCAGCGGGTCCTGGGTCTTCCTCTGGGCCTTCTCCCGGTGGGACGAGCCCGGAACACCTCCCCAGGGAGGCGACCAGGAGGCATCCTGATCAGATGCCCGAGCCACCTCAACTGGCTCCTCTCCACGTGGAGGAGCAGCGGCTCTACTCCGAGCCCCTCCCGGATGGCCGAGCTTCTCACCCTATCTCTAAGGGAGAGCCCAGCCACCCTGCGGAGGAAACTCATTTCGGCCGCTTGTATCCGCGATCTCGTTCTTTCGGTCACTACCCAAAGCTCGTGACCATAGACGAGGGTGGGAACGTAGATCGACCGATAAATTGAGAGCTTCGCCTTTAGGCTCAGCTCTCTCTTCATCACGACAGACCGGTACAGCGCCCGCATTACTGCAGACGCCGCACCGATCCGCCTATCGATCTCACGCTCCCTACCCCCGTTCGCGAACAAGACCCCGAGGTACTTGAACTCCTCCACTTGGGGAAGGACGTCCGCTCCGACCCGGAGAAGGCACTCTACCCTTTTCCGGTGAGAGACCATGGTCTCGGACTTGGAGGCACTGATCCTCATCCCAGCCGCTTCGCACTCGGCTGCGAACCGCTCCAGTGAGAGCTGTAGGTCCCGACTTGATGGAGCCAACAGGACCACATCATCTGCAAAAAGCAGAGATGCGATCCTTAGGCCACCAAGACTGACACCCTCAACACCTCGGCTGCGCCTAGAAATCCTGTCCATAAAAGTTATGAACAGGACCGGAGACATAGGGCAACCTTGGCGGAGTCCAACTCCCACCGGAAACGAGTCCGACTTACAACCGGCAATGCGAACCAGACTCTGACTCCGGTCGTACAGGGACCGAACAGCCCGTAACAAAGGGCCAGGTACCCCATACTCCCGGAGCACCCCCCACAGGATACCCCGAGGGACACGGTCGAACGCCTTCTCCAAGTCCACAAAACACATGTGGACTGGTTGAGCGAACTCCCATGCACCCTCTAGGACCCCGCTGAGGGTATAGAGCTGGTCCAGCGTTCCACGGCCAGGACGAAAACCACCCTGTTCCTCCTCGATCCGAGGCTCGACTATCCGACGGACCCTCCTCTCCAGAACCGCTGAATAGACCTTCCCAGGGAGGCTTAAGAGTGTGATCCCCCTATAGTTGGAACACACCCTTCGGTCCCCCTTTTTAAATAGGGGGACCACCACCCCAGTCTGCCAATCCAGCGGGACTGCCCCTGATGTCCACGCGATGTTGCAGAGTCTCGTTAGCCAACGCAGCCCCACAACATCCAAAGCCTTAAGGAACTCCGGGCGGATCTCATCCACCCCCGGGGCCTTGCCACCGCGGAGCTTTTTGACTACCTCGGTGACTTCAGCCCCGGAGATTAGAGATCCAAACTCCGGAATAGTCATATCTAAGAAAAAAAAACATGTCTTACTATATAGTGCATAAACAATGCCAGATTTTCTTCTCCCGTTATATTTTAACTTCAGGTTCTTTGAAAATTCCAACCTCTTTTTTGTAGATTACAGTTACTCTATTTTTTTCTTTAATCAGTTGAAATAACTTCCTTTGACGTGACCAGTTGCCGATTCCAGATTTTGAAATTCTGTCCTGATTCTGCTGTTATCTAAAGTACTTACCTTTTATTTCTGTTTGCAGAGTACTGCAAATTAGCGGTGATACATTGTTAGGAACCCACTCTACCTGCTAATGGCGGATACACGAACAATACCAGCTGTCTAGTGATAAAAATGGACAAAGGAGCTTTTTTTCCCCTCTTAGTGTACAGTTGGCTGTCACTCGTATTGGACAAGAGTGGTTCAAACCACCCTCGTCTGCCAAATATTCTGCAAAATCGTCAAGAATATCATTGGTTCTAGCATGTACGAGGCTGGTAAATACAATCGTAACAGACTGATGTAGTCAGTTATATGATTCTGTTACGAAACTCTGTGTTTATTTTACAGTAAGTGAAATCTCGAGGCACGACAAAGAAATTGGCCAATTCATCAGAATACAGTCCTACTCCGATTAAGTCCAGTGAAATACGTTCCAAATTTGTTCAAAACATACAAATTCACTTAGGGAATAGTTGCCTTGCTAAAGAAACCAACAGAATGCATTTTCTCTTTGATTTGATCCAAAAGTTGTAACCTGATGGATCAAATCAAATCAAATCGTGGATTATTGTTCCATAAATCAACTTCATCAGCAACATTTTGCAGTATGTGTTTAACTTTTGCCGCAAAAAAAGACTCTTATTGGCTAATATCTGCTACCTCTTTAACACCAAAGAAGAACTAGACAAAGTAATCAACTAAGAATATGAGCTCATAATGGGTCGGCCTCAGAAAAAGCGTTTTACCACAAGCCCTTACTGAAAAGCCGCCAAACGAAAGCCGAGGTGGATTTATGTGAAAAAGATGTTAAATGTAACCAGTTTTAGTTTTAAGTACTGTTTTTTGTACCTATATATAACTACCTTTATCTTTTTCTGAGTGCTAGCCATCTTTTTTTCAGTTGCTCTAAGTGTGAATGCACTAAGCCTAATTGAAAAATGGAAAATTCTCAGAATAATTTAAAAAGGTTTTTGGCGTGTCACTCTAATCAAGTCACTCCACCTGGGTCTCCCTAGTTGCGTTAGACTTTTATCGCCATCCGCGCTGCCAGTGTGCTGTTGAGTTTTCACATGAATGAGTGCTTTTTAACGAGGTGCCGGAATGGAGCACACAGAAGTGACCCACCAGCAGTCTTTTAATAAGAGAAACAATGTCCAGTGTCTATTTAAAGAGAAGCAGAATATCTGGATGTTTTCAGGGGGTTGGTCCATTTGAATCAGCTAAACAAAATTAAACTTATCAATTTAATTTAATTTAATACTTATCAATGTGAACGCTACCCCCCCCCCCAAAAAAAAACCCCAATGAATTTAAGAATTCAGCACCATCTGACTCACTTTGTTAATCTATTTATTGTTTTATACTTGTATTGAACAACTTGCACACTGAGTGTGATTTGTTTAAACTTACAAATTACTACTATATTAAGATACTGATTTAGAATGACATATAATTCTTTTTTATAGATTAAGGTATGAAACAATACAAAATTCGGAAACAAATGACTCTTTGGTTGTCAAGCATCACAGACTGTCTCTTCTAACTTCTTCCTTGATAATGGCTAAAATAATCCACCCACATTTTTATTTACAAGCCTTCAGAGCATCTCCCTCAGCTTAGGTCCCTATTAGGACAGAATGTTTTTACCAAGGAGGTCAAGCAAAGGGTTATGCTTAATTTATTGCCTGGTTTCTCAAGGCCAATCCACATGGTTTGTGGCTTAGTCATAATTAACTAAACCAATTATTGCATTTACCTCTAAAAGCTTATTTATGTAGTGATGGTGTGGAGTACTGGGCCGGTTAACACAGAGAGGAATGTTAAATTTGGGACTGAACTTTTATGTTTGATTTGGTTTTTAGTTTTACTTTTTATCCTTTGCATTAAAGGCAACTATTTGTATGGTCAAAATCTGTGTGTCTGTTTGCCAGCATCTGCCCTGTCACTATGACATGTTCGGCCAATCAGCATCTGCAGGGAAGTGTGGAATTTTGACTAAACATTTCAGTTATTGGACAAATTAAAATTCAGGTCGCTTCGCTGGAAGAAATTAAAAAGATCTGTGTGCCGTTAACAAGTGTTAATGAATGGTAACACATTCAATAGGTGGACGCTTAACTTTTAGGGTCAGGCAGGCCAGCACGACTCCTCAATTTGGCCCCCAATAGTTTTAGGAATTAATAAAATATCAAATCTGCGTTGTAACCTGTAGGACCCAAAATCAAGACAGATAGGTATGAGTATGAGCTCAGTAGACAGTGGACAATAGAGACCCTGAACTTCCTGAGTTGAGGCTCACGAAAAGAGACAGCCTCGCTGTCTGTGATCCAGAAAGGATTGTCTGTGTGTAAAATGGAAAAATGTATTACTGCTTGCAACCTGTCAGGTCCAACCAGAATTAAAAAAAAGGACAAAGACCAAACACCAAGGCTCAAGATGAGAGAATATGACAAGGCATATCTCACTCTGGGTATCTCTGCTAATGTGAAATGAAATCCCTCAAGAGAAAAATGGAGAAACACTGCAGGTAGGAAGATGGGTTTAAAAAACAGCTACAGTCAACCACTTCTTGAATTGAAAGGTGGATAAAAGGCTGTAGTGAATAATAATGTTATACTTTTAAGTTAGGCTGTACAAATGCACTAATTAATTTTTGCACCAGAATATATTTTTCTTTCCACACAAACAGTCTTATTATTACTGTTACTAAATATGTGACTGCACATTTTACAGGAGTCCTGCATTTGATCTTTGTCATTAAAAGGGATGTTTTTAACCCCATAGGGGACAGGAACAGATTGAGAATCACTTCAGGAAGGGATAAGTGAATATGAGTGAATACTAAATTCTACATGGCTGTTTCTCTGCAGTTCTTCCCCTACGGCGATGCATCCAAGTTTGCCCAGCACGCTTTCAGGACCTTCGACAAGAACGGTGACGGCACCATCGACTTCAGAGAGTTCATCTGCGCGCTGTCCATTACATCACGAGGCAGCTTCGAGCAGAAACTCAACTGGGCCTTCAACATGTACGACTTGGACGGGGACGGCAAGATCACCCGGGTGGAGATGCTGGAGATCATCGAGGTAGGACGGCCAATTCAAAGGGATTTGATTCTGCCCTGCTAAGCATTATCGGAGGCTATAGCACCCGCATATGAAGACAAATGAAGCCTCGGTTCGTAGTTGTTATCTTATGACAGAATATGTCCTTTTTGCTATTTGCTGCCTTTAAATAAAGCTGAACTAGCCCTCTTAACCTCTTAGTTGATCTAAGCGAGCCTGCTGCAGCAATTAATAAGAATAAAAATACAATAAAAATAAATAAATAAATAAATAAACAAATAAATAAAATAAAATAAAATAAAATAAAATAAATCAAAATAAAATAAAATAAGAATGAATTAAAAATAATAAAAAAATTAAATTAAAATAAAAAACAAAACAAAAATTAAATTAAATAAAATGGTAACCGGTGTTAAATAAGCACCATCTAATTTTACACCAAATGGCACTATTTTACATGGGACTCCGTTGGTCTTCCAACAGTTGTCACTTTTTGGAGCCAAACAGACAAAGTATGAATTCCAAGAAAGTAAAACGAATACTTAGGTGTTTTATTTAAATCAAGAGCCTTCGCCTGAGTTCAATCTGTATAGCAGAGTTTATAGATTCTCCCACTACAGCGCAGCTCCAGTATTCTCTAATCTAACAAAGGAACTGTTTTTCTGCTGCAGGCGATTTACAAGATGGTTGGCACAGTGATCATGATGAAAATGAACGAGGACGGCCTGACACCCGAGCAGAGGGTAGACAAAATCTTCTCCAAGATGGATAAGAACAACGACGACCAGATCTCGCTGGAGGAGTTCAAAGAGGCGGCCAAGAGCGACCCGTCCATCGTTTTACTGCTCCAGTGCGACCTGCAGAAATAGGCCGGAGTGCGAGCGGAGAGCTCCACCAGCCGCCTCGGACTACACAGAGAGAATTTCATGTTCCATTCAGTTTGCAGCTATTTCCACTGAAAAAAAAAATGCTTGGACTACCTTTCAATGGATCTGCTTCTTGTGTTTGAAACACTCGTGTGCATGAGAATGTTATTTGCTATAACATAAAAAAAAAAGAAGATCTACACACATCATACGACAGCGTGCGGCTGCGCACTCGCACCTCAGACACACTCACCCCGCATACAGAAACACACACAGATTCTCTCACGACGCATCGCACAGATATATAGATATATAAATATGAATATATTCAAATTATTTAAAGATCAACTGCCAAAATGTGAAGTGTGCAAAAATATTTTCCATACAGCTTCATTCTAATGAAGCTGGCGCATCAGTGATGTGCGATGTTGAATTTGCCGCCAATCTATTTATTGTTCCGAGTTTACCAATGCTAGCTGTATGTGTTTCATAATATTGAGTAACGTCAACCAGATCAAGATCCTACGAAAAATGTATCTGACCCTATTAAGACTCACTATCCATCTTGTCAAATACTAGCTCTAGAGGAGATGGCTTAGAGTTTGTCCAACTTTTCCTCCTGAAACATGCTTGTACCATCAATGAATACTATAAACGTAGTTAATTTGCATGCCTTTAGGTTCTGCCTTAAAGATCTGAGTTTCATTCGATGACTGAAGACAGAGCCTTATCAGGACAGTGTCGTAACTCAAGGGGAAACGATTTTCACTAACTGGGGAAAAGAAAAAAAAGATCACCTTTCAGTAAGTTCTCTTACGGGTGGTTGATGTGTTTTTTTTGTGTTTTTTTTTGTGGTCTGTCGAAAATGTTTTCTTTTGACTGCTTTAACCGTGGGAGCATGTTTCCTCGTTATTTAGCTATGCTATATGTTGCTACGAAATAAATCCCAGAACCCGTATGCTTTCAAACACACTATCTCGTTACAAATAAGCAGATGCTGAATGATGCTGTCTTTCGTAACAGAGCGAAAAGAGACAATATGGCACTTCTTTGTTTTTTTAAGGAAACAAGTCGTGGGATCAAACATTGTGAGCAAGATTCTCTGAAGAGCAAAAACAAAAAAAACTGGAACTAAGATTGGAGTAAAAACAAGGAAAAGGTGTTCATACATAGTTTCAGAGATTTGTTTTAGGCTGCTGTCACATTCATATTTTATTCCAATCTGTCACAGGTTGCATATCATCACCATAACTTTAATGGAGCCCTTGCTAGAGTCTGGGAGTGTTGGAGAAAAGGCGGATATAGGACCTGTGCAGCACTGTAACTCTGTAAGTAAGTGTTTGATAAAGCAATGAGAGGAGCAGCAAATGGTATTTTTCATCACACCCTCTGAATGCTAATGGACAGTCTTTAAAACCCTGTGTTCACTAGGCCGGACGATTCGCTTCCCTCAATCTTTCAAAGTACTTCTCTTTTCCCAATCGGTCAGTCTTTTTGTACTTTTTTACTCCCCACTCTCACTCATTGTACGCATACCAATGCCGACTAAACGTGGAGAAGTTCAGTGGGGTGCTGGACCTCCCGGGAGTGTCTCGGAAGCAGCTGCTTTTAAGCCTAAATTGCTGTTTTCGGCCCTGACATATTCCAAACATGCTTAAATACTACCGGTGTCTTTATGAGCTCTTGGGAGGATGAAAAAGATGCGACATGTCTTAACATACGGCACGGCAATAAATGTGTATCACACCAGTCCGTCGTCATCCCTCAGCAGTGTGGATTGTCGAGTTTCTAATCTGAATTTAAGAACATGTACATCTTTGGCCAAATCATGTTTCTAACTACAACTCTTATTATCACTTTTTCTGCTATTAAGATACCAAATGTAAGCAATGGCAACCGTGTACAAGGATTCTTTTGTAGCATGTATTGTGTCCCTGACGACATGGCTGCACTACTCCCTGTGTTGTGATTTAATCTAATAAAAGGAACTCTATGGGCGATCGTCTGGTCTGATAACTGATGAACCAACCGCACAACAGCCATCAAAACGCCCCTTCTCTAACATGTTCCTGCCTTGCAATGGCTAACACCGACACACTTCGATTGTTTTATGTTTTTCTGACTGTTTAACCATGATCTCAGCCAATTCTGTTGAGCTATTTCAGGAGGCAGCCTGTACTTTTGTCCAACCTTTCAACAAATTCTCATTTTGTGCTGGTTAAACAAACCTAAAGCCAACTGAATATTCATGCCCTGTTTCAGTTAACCATTTCAACCGATAAGTACATTAAAAAAGACAAAGGGAACACTGAAAATTAAACATTGTTGACAAAAAATAATATGTAATTAATAAAAAAGTATGTAAGAGAAAGCAGAAGATTAGACAATAATGTTGGTTTCAAAGATCTCTGCAAGGTTTTTGTTTTATTCTAATTGACTTTTTCGCAGTTCTTTCAGATCAGCATAATGTCCATGATGAATTTCTCTCTTAAACCGATGTAAAATCCATCCATTTCCCAAAAGAGTCCCGGCTGGAAACTATCCCAGCTGGCAACGGGCGAGAGGCAGGGGACACCCTGGCTGAATCGCCAGTCCATGACAGGACCACACAGAGACAAAAATCATAATAATTTGAGCATCTCATTAACCTAACGTGCATTCTTTTTGGAAGGAAGGAGGAAGCCGTAGAGCGAGAGCCAAAGAGAACCAAAGTAAATCTTATCTCTGCTAAAAAAAACAATAAAAAAAAACTCAGCTAGTGTGGATTCAATATTATTGTTGTATTTGTGCCCCTCAATGCTCAGGTCTAACCCACTCGACACTAAATAAGAAGAGATTTTGAGAGAAAGATTTTGCAGGTTGTCTCCTCCATGTCCCCTATGGTGCTCCACCATGATATACAATTTCTAATTAGTCAGAATCGAATTCCTGCAGCCCATCTGTTGTCCAGTGAGATCTGGGATGGGCTGCAGCCTCCCTGCCACCCATGTATGAATAATCAATGAATGACTCGCAGACAAGTACCAACAATCTCTTCATTTTTCATGAAAAGCAGCGGCGATCGTGGCCCTGTTGTGAGTCCGGATGACCATCTGCAGCCATGTAAAAGTCTAAGGTTGCCTCGCTTTTTATTAATTCATGTTCGACAAAACTGGAGTCAGCAACTTGTTTTTCCATAAGTCTATTCCTGGTGTAGCGGTGGGTTGTGGTGACAGTCCCCTGCCCCCAGTATCGAGCACAAATCTATAGCAAATATTTTGTACAGTCAAGTACACACGTGCACCCAGATCGTCATAGCTCGTGTTTTTGATGTTATGTCACAGCGCTGTACAGGGAGCTGTGTTCTTCTGTGTGGCTGTTGGTGCCTTTCTTCCGTTTGTCGTCCAGCAGGTGCTCCTGATGGCTCTCCGTCTGGTTTCCCCCACAGAGATTAAGCCTCTCCACAGACGTAGCAGCCGGAGGTCTGGTTTTTGTCCTGTTTCTCTTATAACGTTTGTTTTGTTTCCATTTATTCGCTGTCACCCTTTCAGTACATAATCGGACTAAATCAATAACCAAACAGTAACAAAGCAAGAAGGGGTAGTCTTTATCCATAAAGTTGTTATGATGCTGGACGGCACACTTTAATAGAGTAGTGGAAAGACGATCTACTATGCATTTCAAGTCATTCTTTATTCAATATTTGTACTTAAAATTTAAATGAATTTTGATCGATTATACTAATATTTGCAACGATACTGAAAGCTTCTATTGAAAAGACTTAGACAACTTTACTGTCATTTTGTATGTACAGAGTGCTTAAATAAGAGGGCTACTTTTAAGACCGACAGATGCCACCACTGAGACATGTTCCTCATTTTTCCTTTTGTCAAGATTCATATAACTTATATATTTTCTTGTGCAAATATTCCACTGATGATTTTCAATCTCAAACTGACTCCTACGGCTAGAAACAGAAGTACGTCGGAAGACAGAAAAATGTTTATTCATGAACCATTAGCAGCACCTGTCTGGCTGCAGCTGTCTCACATGCACGCACACAGACACACAAAGACACACACACACAGAAGGTGATTACTGGGTGGCCTTCTAACCCTACACAGCCTATTGAACTGCTGGGTTCACACAGAGTAGAACACTTTTAGTGTATCATATCTTAGCAAAAACAGGACACAAGATTATAGAAAGAGCATTTATTTTACAGAAATTATATCCTTTACAAGGGTGGTGGACATCCACTTCAATTCCTCTCACGCATGGTGGACAAAAGGTAACTTTAAATTAAAAGCTTGTAGAAAAACAAACATGTTGTTTCAAATTAGGACAACCAATACGTTGCTATCCTGTTTTGTACTGAAGAATTATTCTGCCATTCTCTGAACAGCACTGATTTAAACTCCAGTACTACCAGTTCAATCTGAAAATGTGTACGTATCCCAGAAAATTAGTCACAAAAAAAGCCTCCAGATAGTGAAATAAAGGTTAAAAAAAGACAAGAAAAAAAAAATCCAAAAAGGATGTTCTTAATAAATGTATTGGGATGTCATTACAAGGATACAATCAAGCAACATGAGAGGTTTTTACAGATCAGGAAAGCTGAAATGTGGAAAGCTGGAGGTGTGTGGAACTCTACTTTGGAGGGTCTGTGTTGATACCATATTTCTCTTTCAAAAGCTTCAGCTGCTCCTCTTTCTTCTTTGTGTCCATTTTCTGGAAAGCCTGAACACAAAAAAGTGTAAGAAAAGTTTAGACTTGATAATAGAATACATTTTAAAAAAAGGGATGTTATATCTGCCGTTGTGATATTCATACGCACTCTGTTTGCATTGTAGTAAAGAACCACCAAGTAGCGATTGCAGACGTTGAAGCCTGACAAGTGGTCACAGGCGTTCTTGGCATCGAAGATGTCTTCGTACACGACATAAGCTGTTCCTCTACTTTCAGGTGTGTTCCCTCTGAAAAACGTAAGACAAAAAAAATCTCATAACTTAACAGCCGAAAATATTTAGCAGCAACGTACACTGCACAAACATTCCTCCATTTGTGATTGTTATTTTTGGTTGAATATCCCTCTAATTTGTTTTGGTTGTTGTGTTACTCTGAGCAAAGTTTTAGGTTTACTACACTAAAATTATTGGCGGCTTCAAATTTGACAGAAATTCCATTTTTTTTAAACGTGAATTAGCATTCCGCTAATACATTTAAGTCAAAGCTATCTATTTCAGCCTGTACCTGACTGTCCTGGGACATCTTTGGACAGTTTAGGTTTGTCTTAAGTCCCACAGTGTGAACTACTCCACTTTAGAGTCAAATCACTGAGTGGTTATCTCCACTACAAGGTGGCTCCCTAAGGTTGCTTCAATTCCCTGGCCGATTGAGAAGAATATAAAAAGAAGCATTGGCAACTTGCATAAAGAGAGCAAACACAAATGCACTGTTTATAACTGTTTATTGAAACCAAAACACCCATTTATGACCTATAAAGATAACACACTAGCAAATGTAAGCTAATATGTATCGTAAAACTTTATTTCAAAATAAAAACCACAATGAGTCTTAATACAGACAATTTAGGGTGTGATCCTACCAGGTTTTAAAACGGCTGCTTTATGGGTGACAACAGCACAAAGTGTCCATCAAAGCAAACCTGAAAAGGTTTGCTAGATGTTCCGAACAATATCTATGCCAAAGAGATGTCGATCAAAAACTCAGAAGCCAAAGAAAAGAAAGCACTAAAAATGACCCTTTCAACTGAGACAACACAAAAAGTCTGACTTCTCAAAGTCTCCATTTGACTAATACTCTTCAGAAGAAAAATCTCTAGTTGATATGGCTTCCAATATAGTACAAATACAGTATAGTACTAGAAAATACAGTCTCTATAACACAATTGGAATATCAAAAGTGCTTGCTGTTTTCCTAAATACAACTTGGACTTTATGATATAATACTATATAAGTATCTGCATTTAGGTATTTTTCACACAGACTATTCCGGATTACAAATAAGGAGTCCTAAACTTTAAATAAAGACATACAGCCGTAAACTCACGTTCGGATTTGACGAATCGGTCCGTATTTTCCAAAGATGTCATACATTTCCTCGGCAGTGATCTTATAAGGAAGGTTCCTCACGTACAGGATTCTGTTCACCTCAGGAGGTAGCCGAATCTGAGGCACAAGGAAAAACACAGTTTAACATTAGAAATGTTAGCGGTCTATAGAGCTTATATAACCGTCAAACAAAACACAAGGCTGTGTTAACCGATCAGAATGCGTAGTTAGCAAATGTTCAAGTTTAAATATGACTGCATACCTGAGACCAAAATTGTGATAGCTGACTAAATATAATTTAAGAAACATAACTTGCCACAATGCCCAAAAAACGATGACTTGTTTTCATTTATAAAGATCAGAATTTAAACCAGACATAGTGGCTTTTTTCAAAGCATTAGCATGCTAACAGCTAACCATATACAATCTCAAGCTATAGCCACTTTCGAGCATACCTAGCTCATATGTATTATACCTGATCACATAATATATTAATCACTATTATTCTACTTACATTGGCGCGTTTTGCTGCTTGCATAGCCATGGCGACTGCTTATTTTCTCCAAATCGAGGCACTGAACAACAAACACGCAGTATCGTAAAGCTTCCCGTTCACCTCAAAATGGTAGCCGTCGCAAGTTTGTGACGTACTTCCGGGTTTCTTTAAAATACGGTACAATACTGACTCCTTGTGGACAATATATGGAAAAATAATTATGCTAAAACTCACACTTGTCAAAGCCTTTTTTATTCAGGTTGATAAACAAGATTGGACACCAATTTCCTTGATGTTTTTTTCATAAAAGCCCTTAAAAGTATTTTTTTGGCAGTCTCTTTAACCCATTCAAAACCTTTATTTCATTATAACTCTCAGTGTCAGAGATAAGGAATCTTTAAAGATTAATACTGATTATCAAGGATTCAAATGTTTTTCGTGTGAAGGTATAAAGTGCTGACTTTTTACTTCCTATTTAACGGTTTCATAAAGTTAAATTGCATAACCTCTAACAACACTGCAACAGCCTTACCTAAAACAAAGCGAGTTTAGAAAAATTTGAAAAAAAATAAAGAAAAGTTTGAAAATATTTGTTGACGTGAATAGTTTGGGATGTAAAGTTGAAAACTAAATAAACTGTTTTGCAGTACCACAATTTGGACATTTCAGAAAACTTACCCCTTCAACAAGTTGATTCAAACTTTAAATAGCTATGTATTAAAGGCATTGTGTTGGATAAAGCTTTCTCAAACTTAACCCAAGAGTCTGCTCCTGTAGGATCTTTCGAGTGGTTGCCCCTGGCCTCTGAAGTGCTCAAAAGGTAGAACAGGGCCACAGATAACAAGCCTGTTTCATCACTCTGGCCTCAATGGTGTTTGTGTAACAGAAGGACACTGGTGAAATAATTCCAGAGAAAACATTTTTTTCATCAAAACCTCACCTAAGTGCTCCTGAAATACTTCTGCAAGTTACTTTGAGACATTACAGAGTATGTAAACAATTTTAGATTAACATTATTTAAAAAATGGAAATAGAGACCAACTAGTTTAACTAGGAAAGCAATTAAACCGTTAACTTTGTGAAATGTATTCCTCATTATTAAGGTGTTACAATAATTAACTGTAAAAAAAATAAAATAATAATAATTTAAAAAAATCTCTACTTTTGGTTGCCATAGAAGTGGGCAGTTCCGGGTCGGGATTGGAGGGAAAAAAAGAACGTTCACCACGCGCGTGGTTTGGCGTTGGGTTAGCATGCGTTAGCCAACGGTTTCTAGCATCAGATTATTGTGTTGTGAGCTCGTGGCAATATCGGCACATTCCGAGCGACAGCTTATTGCTTAATTGGACACAACAAAACATTCTTCAAGACTTCACTGTTGGTGAACTGATATTTTGAGTTAATTGAAAACAGTAAAGTTTTGGCCGTCGAGACGACGTTAGCATCGCTGCGGCTGCTGGTGGATGATCGGAATATCATAATAATCAGCCTTGCATGTTCATGAACAGTAAGCAGAACTGACAGGGAAGGCGGTAAGTAAATAAGTTCAATTCTATCTTAAAGTATATGTAAAATGACCAGAATTTGATGAAACTTGATGAACATTCATAGAGACCTGGCTTAAAAAAACAACTATTTATTTATTTTAAACAGTACTGTCAATTGAAACCAAATTAAATCCAAACTTCAGTTTGCCTGGTATTTAACAGTGCTTATGTTAAAACAAAGAACATTTTTGATAAATGTGCTGAAAATTTAAAGTGTTGTAAGTGTGAGTTTGGGGTAGAGCTGCACTTCTTCAAATTCTTCCATCTCCATGCTGCAGAAAAAGTGATGACTATACAGAAATTAGTTTGTTTATTCATTCAGCTCCAATGGGCAAATGTTTGTCCTTTTGGGGCACAATTACTGTTTATTATTCAAAGATTATTGTTCTGCCTGTCTGGTTTAAATACGTCCTTGCCACCGTTGTCACATTGTCATACTGAGGTTTCCAAAAAAGGATTTTAAGTTGTCATATGCTATGTTGAAATGGTAACCTCTTTTCCTGCTGTACAGATGTGCAGATTTTATGAGCTGTGGATATTGAACCAGCATTGGCTGAGACAAAAAGGTGGAAAAAAAAATACTGGAAACGTTAAAAAAAATTCAGGGTTGTACATCCAACCCCAGAAAGGGTAAATGCATACTTATAATATGTGATTTGGGCAATGTTGTGGCAATCTAACACATTAGTGTCTGACACAGATTGGGGTTTGGTCACAAAGCTATCAGGAAGTATCAGAGGATCTCGGGAATATTTTCTATGCTGCCACATGACATGTTTGTGTGTTGTTCCTGTTCATAAATTCCACTTTAGAAACTGCAAATATGAATCCGACTTCTCTTTTCTCCATTATAACGTTCTCAAAAATGTTACTCTCAAAAATACACCATTCCTGAGAAAATCATTATACAGGCACTAACATTGTTTCTGTCACGGATAAGGACCCCAGTTCTCAGGAAAGGCTATTACAGGTGAAATTCACTTAAGCAGTGCCTTTTCATTGTAGTGATCAGGAATGGAATGGGACTGGGTGCAGATAACTGCATAGTGTTGATGCAATGATGAAGGCCTCTTCAGACACCTTAGCGTTACCTTACCTTTGCATGCAAAAAAAGTAAACATTTGATGAGTTATCCATTGAATAACCATGTTTCTTCTGTCTGGAGTTAATTTTTAATGGCCCCAAGTTTGTAATACAGTACTTTCAAAAAGCGGTTCTACCGACATGAAGTCTCCTGCTAAGCCTTGAAAATTCACTGGGCTGTTGTTATGAGTGTGATGTTTATCTAAGATGCCTGTTCATCAATCCAGCTGGCAACATAAGATTTTCACCATGAATGAGAGCAAGAAAATGAAAATTGAGCTCAGAGGTTGTCACTGAATGAGAACCAAAGTTTCAGGATTGTATTTTGTTTTTCTCTGTAATAAGTTGTCTTTTATATTAACACCCTAAGCTTTATTCAGATATTTTGTCCAAATGTTTAAAATTCTGACTAGTAAATCTGTTTGTATTGATTTGTGTGCTTTGCAGATAACTTCCAAGACTCTTGCCATCAATGTTGAGAGGTGATGGGTTGCTTGAATTCATGAAACTACCAGAATGTCTTCAATCCCAGGACTTCCCACCCCAGGATCAAATGTAGTAATTTGCATAACCAGGGTCCATTTGCATCCCCTTTGTGTGTTAGTAGAGTTCTGGGGAAAATTTTGCCAGGAAAAAACAGGAGATTATGACCAACTGGCTCAAGACATCCAGTCTCCTGGAGCTATATTTAAAACCTTGGATGGAAATCCTGGTGACCAATGCTTAGCTCAGTTTAATGATACTTGGTACAGATGTCGTATAGTGTCAAGAAATGGCCCGAAGTACAGCGTTTTCCTAATTGACAAAGGCATGACATACAGCGCCACAGCAAGCAATCTAGCATGGGGTAAGAAGGAGTATTTCCAGCTTCCTCCTGAAGTGGAGTTTTGTGTGTTGGCTAATGTGTTACCACTCTCGCCTGAGAACAGATGGTCCGCAGTTGCTCTTGAGTACCTGAAATCTCTCACAGGGAAATCGGTGACAGCACAAGTACAGGATGTACTGGTACCGCACAGAACATTTGTCCTGCACATCCCTTGCATATCCAAACAAATGTATGAGATGGGATTTGCAAAGAGGCTATCTCCTGTCACATTCCAGGATTATGTTCTCATGTCACTGAAGTCCCACAGTGGAGCTGAATCATCCACAGAGATTCAGCCGCTCTCCAAAGAAAGAGGTGAACAATTGCAGAAGCAAGAGCTGTTTTTGTACCCAGAACTGCCAGGAGGAACTGTAGAGACAGTCATTGTAACAGAGGTGACAAATCCACAGAGAATTTTTTGCCAGTTGAATGTATTCTCACAAGAGCTAAAAAAACTGTCTAAGCAAATTACACAGAGCTGTGAGGGTAGGATGTCCAGTTGCATTATAGGCCCTGAAATGATTGGGTTTCCATGTGCAGTGAGAGGAAGTGATGGCAGGTGGTTCCGCTCTGTGCTGCAGCAGGTTCTCCCAACTAATGAAGTTGTGGAAGTACTGAACGTTGACTATGGTACAAAACAGTTTGTTCAAGTGGAGAATGTAAGACCACTCGCTGCAGAGTTCTTCAGGATGCCAGTTGTCACTTACAACTGCTCCCTCCATGGAATCATTGACAAAGGGGTGGGATGGACAACCAGCCAGATTGACTTCCTCCGGTCCCTCCTGCTTCATAAGCGAATGATCGCTAAATTTGAGTATCAAAGCATCTCTGAGGGGGTTTACTATGTATCACTTTATGGTGATGACAACACCAATGTGAACAACCTCTTTGGTTCCAAGGAAAACTGTTTGCTGGACTGTGGGAAAGCAGTTAATGATTATTATGATCAAAGCGCCAAGTACGGCTCCCAGTATCCATTCCAACAAGAGGGAAAGATGCTAGCTAAAGAAAGGAGGCTAGATCCTGAGATTTTACCTGCCGAAGAACTCGATCTAAACACCTCACACCTGGTGGTTGTTCAGTACGCATCTAACCCATCAGAATTTTGGATCCAAACTGAGAACTACAGACAAAAGTCGGCAGAGCTTATGGATAGTATGTGTCGTCTTTACCAGGATTCAGCAAATAAAGAAGTGGTCAGAAATCCAAGTCATGGACTCTACTGTGCTGCCAAAGCAGAAGATGGGGACTTCTACCGAGCAGCAGTGACCGAAATCAGTGAGACTAAAGTCAAAGTGTTCTTTGTTGATTATGGAAACACAGAAATGGTGGACAGGAGGGACCTTAGGCCCCTTCCTGTGGAGTTAAAAAAGCTGCCACAGCTGGCTCTGAAATGCAGTCTTGCTGGTGTCAGGCCGAAAGATGGTACATGGAGTCATAGTGCCTCAGTTTTTTTCACCAAAGCAGTCGCAGATAAAGTACTAAAAGTGCTTGTGAAAGGAAGGCATATTGACAGCTATGTTGTCCAGCTAACAGATCCCAAAGCACAGGGTGAACCGGATGTCAGTGCATTGATGTGCAGTTCCGGCTTTGCTGAAAGGACTGAAAGGCAGAGACCCACAAAAGGAAAAAGCCCCTTGCAAACTGCCATTATTTGTCCAACGCTATGCACTGGTACAAGACTCCTGGATGTGTCCAGCAACAGTAAAACCGCTCTCCAGTCTCCAGGCACAGTCAGTCTTATGAGCGCAAAAGGAGCAGTTCCTACTTTTAAGGAGCAGATGTTTCCGATCGGAAGTGTCCTTGATGTCGGCGTGTCCTACATCGAAAGCCCAAATGACTTCTGGTGCCAGCTGGTTCAAAATGCAGGGCAGTTGAAATCACTAATGCATGAAATACAAGCTCGTTATGCAGGCAGCGAGTTTCAGCCTAATGTTGAAATTGGTTGTGTAGCTCGACACCCTGATAACGGTATGTGGTACAGAGCCCTCGTGGTTCACAGACATGAAACCACTGATGTGGACGTCTTGTTTGTTGATTACGGGCAGACGGCAACTGTCTCCATCTATGACCTGAGGAAAATCCACCCAGATTTCCTCACTCTGAATGGCCAAGCTTTTCGATGCAGTCTCCTAAACCCAACTGACCCCACATCTGCTGTAAATGAGTGGAGTGATGAGGCAAAGACAAAATTCCAAAACTTTGTGGAAACTTCGGTTTCTAATTTTGTCGTTTTGAAGTGCACCATATACGCCGTTATGTGCAGTGCGCAGATGATTGTTTACAACATTGTGGATCTGGAGACTCCCTTTGAGAGCATCTGCACCAGTATAAGCAACCTTGCTACTAGTATGCCTCTCAAGAAAGCCACTGGCCCATCTTTCCGTCTTGACACATACTACTATTCAACGCACAATATCAAAACTGGGACAGAGGAGCATGTCACAGTAACGTATGTGAACAATGTCAGTCAATTCTATTGCCATCTTGAGAAGAACACTGACGTGATGAGAGAGCTGAGAATGAAAGTGAATAATCTCTGCCAACAGCTAGAGAAAATAAAGCTTCCATCAGTCTTTGGAACTTTGTGCTTTGCAAGATACACTGATGGGGAGTGGTACAGAGCACAGATCAAGACCACAAAGCCATCAATACTGGTTCATTTTGTGGATTATGGGGACACAATTGAGGTGCAGAAATCCGACTTGCTCCCAGTTCCGAAAGAGGCAAATGACATCATGTCTGTGCCCGTGCAAGCTGTGGTGTGTGGACTTTCTGACGTTCCGGCCAACGTTCCAGAACAAGTGAACAGCTGGTTTGATACAACAGTGACAGAATGCAAATTCAGAGCTCTTATAGTGGCCAGAGAGCCTGATGGGAAAATGCTGGTTGAGCTGTATCACGGAAACACTCAGATCAATGCAAAGATCAAGAAAATGTTCCAGATAGAGATGCAAACAGGAGCACCGGTTGTTCAACAGAGTCGGAAAATGTTTGAGGCCTCAGCCAGTTATGCACAACAAACCTCTCTGAAACGTCCCACAGACATTGAAAACCATAAACAAGCTTCAATGAACAATAATTATTCTCCTCAGAAACATCCACTTCAGATGAAGCTTGACTGGAAACTTATTGATGTGACTCAGCATTCTGCGCAGAAGCCTGTACACCATTTTTGTGAAACTGGTCAGAAGACCAGGCCTGGTGCATTACAGTTGTACAAACCTCCACATCAAAGGCAGACATGTGAAACAATGCCAACCAACAGTTCTGACCTTGTTGTTTCTCAGCAGACACCAATAAGAAAGAGCAATCCCTTTGACACCAGGCAGCCAGAATCCAAATCGGCTTTCCAGAAGGAAAGCAATGCTGAAAAACTCCCAAAAATCTCAGACCTGCCCTCTAAACAGATCACGCCTGCTATGACGGCAGAGGTTTACATCTCTCACTTTAACAGCCCATTGAGTTTCTACGTGCAACACGTGACTGAAGAGGATGAAATGGTATCCCTGGTTGAGAAGCTTAATGATCCAGAATTTTCCACAAAAGTCTGTGGCCTTAACGATGTCCATCCAGGGGACCTCGTTCAAGCAGAATTTGATGAGGATTCCTCGTGGTACCGAGCAGTTGTGAAGGAAATCGATGGCAATTCAATGGCTTACATAGAGTTTATTGATTTTGGAAATACAGCAGCAGTGCCCATTTCTAAACTTGGGAGACTTCACAAGTCCTTCTTGCAGTTCCCCGTTTACAGCACGCACTGCACGCTGAGTGATGCTGTTGTTCTCGGAGAAGAAAGAGCCGTAGATCCTGAGGTAATTTCGGCTTTTAGGGAAGACATTGGTTTGAGCGGAGAAAAGGTGCTGACATGTCACTTCATCCAGAAGGTGGGATCTGAGTGGGAGGTCAGACTTGAAGACAGCGGTGTGGCGGTGGTGTGCAAAGTACCTGCTGGAGGTCAGGAGAGTATCGATGAGAAACGCATGGCGGAGGAAGGCATCAGGGAAGTGTCAGAAAACTCGGAGAAGTCGCCAATGAATTCTTGTTCCCTTGTTCCCCCCACCCCCCAACAAGAGATTTTAGTGGGCCAGCAGTTGGAGGTCTACATCACAGCCGTAGATGATGCTCAGACCTTCTGGTGTCAATCAGTGAACTCTGAGAAACTCGACCAGATCTCTTTAAGTGTCGCAGAAGTTGGGGATAAATCGGTTTCCACATATATTGACCCTGACACTCTGTTCCCTGGAACCCTGTGCATTGCTCTTTTTAATGATGATCAGCTTTGGTACCGTGCAGAAGTCATTGACAAAGTTGGAGATGAGCTGTCTGTTCTGTTTGTGGACTACGGGAACAAGTCTCCAGTTAAGATTGCAGATGTTAGAGAAATGCCTCCACCCTTAAGGGACATTCCGCCACAGGCCTTTTTGTGTGGGTTGGAAGGCTTCGATGAGCCCTGTGGTTTGTGGGAGAGCGGTGCTGCAGATGAACTTTCCTTTCTCACGGCGGACAAGTTGATACAGCTAACTGTCACAAAAGCAACAATGTCTGAAGGAAAGGTGAAATATTTTGTGGAAATGGAGAATGAAGGCCAGATGATCAATGAAGTCATGAAAAACTGGTGGAAGTGCTCCAGGGCCGAGAACACTTCAGACTCAGGTAGACTGACAAACTCGATGGAAACACAGCAGGTTGACTCAGTCATTTCAGTGTTCGAAGATCAGCTGGAGGATCCTGACATCCAAGATGTAGATAGTTCTGCTATTGTTATTGACCCCCACAGCAACGCAAGGGAGGATGAGCAGGATGACCCGCACACAGCAGATGAAGACTCAAACCTAGCTTGCAGTCCCAAGAGATCTGAATGTTCTGAGGTTTCTCTTCCCCTCGAGCCTACAGAGCAGGAACATGTTTCATCTGAAGAACATTTGCTGAACATGCTCCATGTCAGAATGATTTCCCCTAAGGAGAATTTGCCTTGTGATAGTGGCATAGATGAAACCTTGCTACTTGATAGCAAAGATGAACAGGATGTTTCTGGCTCAAGCTCTGCGATGGTGGAAAATGCCAAATCTGTTGAGGAGGGTTCTTTTGGGACAGATTGCTTGGATTCTCCACTGGAGGAGAACTTTGGAGAAGTGATGGATGAATTGGAGAGTCAAACAGACGAAAAGGAAGAGACGCTTCTTTCTGCCTGTGTCCCGGATATCAGGCATTTTTCTGGTAAGCAACACATTAATCTATGTCTGGTTCACTCACACCATTATGCTTCTACATTTACAGTTATATTTGCATTGTAAAATATATGACAATGTCAGTTAATTCTGTTCTTTTCCCTCCCCAGATACACCAGTGGCAAATTATGACAGGGAAACTGCTATTCCAAGGGGTTCCTCACAGCCGGCAGTAAAAATGGTAAATCCAGTTTATCGAGAGATGAGTGTGGGTAGAATTGATGAAAGACAAGACTTCATGAAAGCTAATCGATGGTCATCTTTTTTTTAAGGTTCCCCGAAAAGCTAATCCCCAAGAGACAAAAGATACATATTTGGATTTCGCACAACAGGTATATAACCTTTTTATTTTTCTGTAGCCAAAGTCTTCAAAACTGATAATGCGTTGGCAGATTTTAAAGCAGGATTTTATTCTTTGAACGATTAAGCTGCCCAAAATTATTTGTTTGTTTGATAGCAGTAGAGTTGCGTTCTTGTCGGATCTGGGCAATTTGGGACCAAAGTTGCTCTATTATTATTTGCAGACTAATTGGAAAATAATAGTATTCACACTAGGGCTAAAAGGAAGCTACCACAATGATTTAAATAAGCCAGGGATCTTTGATTGCTTCTGTGCTTGATGTTTTCAGTAGTGATATATGCCTGAAAGAGGAGGTCTGCTCTCTTCCTGAATATGCTAAATGACCATATTCTTTAATCTATACTTACTGTTCTTTACCTCTGGGAGAATTACATTTTTCAACAAGTTCTGTCACAAGATTTTATACAGATAAAAGAAAAAGTAGTGAAAAGGTCACTAAATTGCAAAAAATAGCACTTTGTCATAGTAATGCAACATTTATCTGTTGTGTTAGCAAAAAAGACAAAGCTTGAGAACCCATTTTATACCAGCTGATATTGGTGTTGTTACTCTTTTGCAGACATGTAAGCTCAGTGCGCTTTCAACTCAGAGGTAGAAATACGAATAAAAAAAAAATGGTGACATTTAAACCGGAATAAAGAACATTTTCTGATGGTCTTATTTTTTGAGTGGCTATTGGCCACGTTCACACTGCAGCCTGAACAGACCCAATTTTTTAAATTAATTTATTGGGGGGCGGAAGAAATTCTATTTTTTTTATGGGCTCATTCACATTTCTGAATATATGCGAAGCATATGTGATATTCTGTGTGAACTGCAAGCGAACCTGAACGTGTCCCCTCTGCACAGTAGAGGACGCACGCCAGGCCATTTCTTGGGAATCTCCCGATTCCGATAAAATCCCTTGAGTTTGGCCTGGATAGAGCTATCCCCCAAATACTAAATAACTCATAAACTCCGCTTTCTGCCCACTGGCAGTTCTCTGCTTTATCATACGTCATGGCTGTTGTTTTTCTTTCACATAGCAAGACGCAGAAAAGTGGTCTTTGTTGTGTATCATTGGCGTGCAGGTTGGATATATGTGACCTGGCTTTACAGTCTTGGATCACATTTGAAAAGATCATAAATGTATTGGATTGATTACCACCTATCCAAATGGCCTGGGTCGCATTTGAAAAAATCTGTGGTGTTCATGCTGTCATGAAAAGATGGGATACAGATCGCATTAGAGCAAAAAAAGATTCAGCGTGCATGTGAACATAGCCTTTGAATGGGATTCTGACCTTCTAAATCTATGAAGTTGATTACACTTTTGGTTTCATGTTGTGTTCACCTTCTTATCAGGTTAAGTCCCTGCTACTGTCCCACGGGCATCCAGCGCAGCGGCTTTGTGGTGAGTACTTCCTACATACTGTCCTAATCAGAGGTTTTAATGTTTTCAAGCTTGCTCTGACAAAGGTCCGGCAGGCAGTCGAGGCACCTTTTAAAAGGGTCCCATTATTAGTTCCATGATGGTAAAATTTACAATGTGGCAGCAGCTAGAGCGTAAAGATGAATAGGAGGGAAAAAATGAACAAACATTTTATGCAAGGTGGAAAATAAAATGCTGAATTGGAGTAAGACGCAGCCAAAATTACACAGTGAATAAATACGGAATTATATTTAGAGTATTTACAGTGTATATACTGTTTATGTTTTGCACATTTTCTGTGAATAATCAGACTATAATATGAATGTCCTAACTCATTTGCATCGCAAATGAATATCCACGTGTCTGAGTAGAAATGACCATAACAGACAATCGGTGTAGTCCGATAACACAAACCTATACAATATGAGCAGGGATTACTGAAGGGGTTTAAATTAAACAAACTGGTGCATCTGAGAACTGTTTGGAATTATAATGATTTTCTCCACAGGTCAGGAAGGTGAGACTGGAGGTGGCATCCCACAGGAAGAGGGTCCACGTGCTCCCACACCCGCACAGGTGGTGCAGGAATAGAGGCCAACATAAGTGTTCTGAACAGTGATGGTCATCTCACGATTAGCAACTCGACTGTGCACCCTGTTGTTGAAGATACTGTACGTAACACAACTGACAAAGTGACAGATTATCTGTTTTAGAATGACTCAGTGAGGGAAGAAGCGGCCTCAGCTCACCTCCAGACAGATTTAGGTTTGTAGATATTAATATGCTCCACTTAAAGGAACCTTTAAGTTTAAAGAAATGAAATCAAAACATACAATAAATGTTTCTGATTGTGTGTGCATATTCAGGCCTCCGTGAAGACGCATCAACAGTTCCCTCTCCAGAAAAGGTACAAATCTTTCCCAGACACTCAAGACAAACATCCCAGCAAACCCAAACGCCCTCTTTTATGGATTTACCCATAACTCTAGAATTGTAATTTGGCACTATGATTTTCAATTGGACATTAGAGATTCTGAACAGTTTTTAGCAGATGGAGGAGATTCAGGTGTAATTGTGTCTCTGTTGCCGTTCAGGGTGACAAAGCCGGAGACCCGTCCAGCAATGATGAAGAGAGCCTTCCAGCAGATCTCTGCGCGGTCATGGGAGAGCCTGGGAGTGAACACAACACCGATGTTGAGGAAAATATGGCATGTGAACAAGCAGCTTGTGCACAGGCTGTGACATGTTGCATCACGGTGAGTTCCCCTCAGCGCATAATTCTTCCGACAAAAAAAACGGCGTCATGGTGGGTAAATCTTGCTCTGGGGGACACGTACATACAGTTGTGTTCGAAATAATAGCAGTGCCTCGACAGCAGCAAGAAAATCACTGGTTTTATTAACATGTCAAACTCTATACCCCAGATAAGTTTCTGGGGGGTAAAATAAAGGTATAGAAAACCAACAAACCCAACAGGACAGCCATGCATACTGTGGATTCTGTGAAATTGAATGATTAACTGAAAAGGGTGTGTTCAAAAAAATAGCAGTGGTGAGTTCAATTAGAGAGGGCATCAATTAGGGAGGGTATTCTGGGAAAAAAGGGTGTTAACAGGTGATCCGTATTTAAGGATCAAGACAACTGGCATGCTGGCTGTGCATTTGTCCTGAAAAAACAAGGAAAATGGGTCGTTCAAGACACTGTTCTGAAGATGAGCGTTTCCTAATAAAAAAATTGATTAAAGAAGGGAAAACATACAAAGAGGTGCAGAAAATCATTGGCTGTTCAGCTAAAATGATCTCAAATGCCCTGAAATGGGAGCAAAAAACTGAAAAACGAGGAAGAAAAAGAAAGACAACCCCTCGAATGGACAGAAGAATAGCCAAACTGGCGAAGACTCAGCCAATGATGGGATCCAAGAGGATCAAGCAAGACCTTCAGTTGACAGTGAGTACTGTGACAATCAGAAGACGTCTTACTGAGGTTAACCTTCCAGCAAGAAGCCCCCGCAAAGTCCCACTGCTGAGAAAAAGACATGTGCAGAAGCGTTTACAATTTGCCAAAGAGCACATTGACTGGCCTGAAAAGAAATGGCATAATATCTTGTGGACAGATGAAAGCAAGATTGTTCTTTTTGGGTCTAAGGGTCACAGGCAGTATGTCAGACGCCCTGCAAACACAGAATTCAAGCCACAGTACTCACTGAAGACCATTAAGCATGGTGGTGCAAGCATCATGATATGGGGATGTTTTTCATACTATGGTGTTGGTCCGATTCACCGCATACAAGGGATCATGGATCAGTTCCAGTACATCAGGATCCTGGAAGAGGTCATGCTGCCATATGCTGAGGAGGAAATGCCTTTGAGGTGGACCTTTCAACAGGATAATGACCCCAAACACACCAGCAAGCGAGCAAAAGCATGGTTCCAGATGAACAAGATTCAACTGATGGAGTGGCCAGCACAATCCCCGGACCTTAATCCCATTGAAAACTTGTGGGCTGACATAAAAAGTGCAGTGCATGAGGCAAAACCAAGAAACGCTGAGGAATTGTGGAATACAGTGCAATTATCCTGGGCTGCAATACCTGTGGAACGATGCCAGAAGTTGGTTGACTCCATGCACCACAGATGTGAAGCAGTCATCAGAAACCGTGGTTTTATAACAAAATATTAGTTTAGGATACTCAGCTAGGTTCACTTATCAAGAATTTCTTTGTTTGTACAGTACATTTTTGAGTTTCCAAGGAAAGATGGCAACACTGCTATTCTTTTGAACATGCCATTTCTTACTTTATTTGAAATATTATTATTATTATTTTAGTTTTGATGACTTTGCGCAATTGTTTTGCTTTGGAATAGAATGTACTGTGTCCCCAATGTATCTGTGTTCATTAAAGTACAATTTCTTTGAAGAATTTTGACATTTACTCATTTTTCTAAAGGCACTGCTATTATTTCGAACACAACTGTACATGACCTGGTGAGCAGGTCTATCCGCCGGTGGCAGCTGTTTCCTTTGTCAATACGTTTTCAAGAGAAGAAAATGTGTGTTAGAACATTGACTCAGGAAACTTCTTTTCACGCCTCATCCTTCTAAAATATATAAAGAATAAACATGTAAAAATATGTGGATAAAGTTAATTGATTTTATCAGCTTCCCTCTCTCCTAAAGAGTACTCCAGTAGATGCTAGTCCAGATCAAAATGAGGATTCAAACCAGGTAAAGTTTTTCCTTTTTTCTGTTTAAATGTATATGTATATAAAATCTTTTTGACTTATTTATGTAGTCTTTTTGATTGTATGTCTTGTAACTTTTTTTAAAGTTGTGTTTTTTTACTCATCACAGGTGCAGAGTCACTCAGCTGGTAAGTGCTTTTAGAATTCAGACCACAGATTACGTTCAGGTGGCCGTCTGGCTTCGTTCAAACTGCAGCCTTGAATTTATTTTTATTTTTTTGTGTAATCTGAATTTTTATCCAGTGTTGTTCACATTTCCAGGCCAAACTCGAGGGGTGTAATCAGAGCCGTTTCTATTATAGGTGAATTGTGTGCTGGATGCAGAAAAGTGGTGCCGGTCATTACAGGCCGGTCAGGTCACATAGGAAAAGATCGGATACGTATCAGATTTAGGACCACATATCCAAGGCTACGTTCACACTGCAGGCTGATGTGACCCAAATCCAACTTTTTTGCCTCAATGCGACCTGTATCTGATCTTTTCTTGACAGTGCGAACAACACAGGTCGGATTTGTTTCAAATGCGACCCAGGCCACTTGGATATGAGGTTCTAAATGCGATCTGTATCCGATCTTTTAAAACGTGACCTGGGTCTCTACAGCCAGAAAGAAAGAGTATCCAACCTGCACGTCATTGATACTCTACAAACACCACTTTTCCATGATGGCTACAGAGTTCACAGATCTGTTAAAAACAGTTAATTTTCTTTTTAACAACGTAAATAATATATTTAATGTACAGATGTCTGATACCTATTGCACCTTCAAATAGTCAAAATTTAGTTTTTGAATTTGTGGAATATAGAAAATGTTCATCATTTTAAAAAATCTTCAGAAGACATTTATACATTTTTTGCTAAATATCAAGTTAATTATATTGATTTTCCTTTTTTATATTTCTTTCTTTCTTTCTTTGTTATCCATTTACTGTTTGGTCAGGCTTTATGGGGTTGGAGGGGTTACAGAAAGCCGTGAATTGATTTGTGTCATTTCTTCTGTATTTCTTTAATTGAATCTGACGACGTTAAACACAAAACATTTTATTCTTTGCAGAACATCCTTCAGAGATTTCAGGGGGAGGGGAAGATGTTTCCGAAAACAACCAGCAGCCTCTCATTTTTGCCCTCTCCGAGGTAAGAAAGTCATGTGAGGTGATGCACAACACGATGTGTCTCTTGTTGCTGAGACACCATGTAGCTGAAAACTTTTCCTCTGTTCTCTGTTTCAGGAAAATGTGATGACTGAAGAAATGGCATCAGCTCTTGACAAAGAGGAACTCTCTGGTTTGTCCTTCACATGAAAAACTAGATTGTTCAGCTGTTTCCTCTTCACTTTCTTCTCCTTAAAAAGTTTTTCTTCCGTTTTTTTAATGGGTTTTTTTTTGCCCCTGCAGTTTTGTCGTCTGATTCTGACTCACAAGCTAACCAGGGATTGGTAATGATGATATGATTATGTTCAAACTAAGGCTACACATGACTAGCTATGTGAATGAAACCCCTTTTCTTCTCCTGTTCAGATCACTCTGGTTGAAGGGCAGATCGGTTTGTCGGACTCCTGCCTGGGAATCGCCCAAAAACAGCAGACGATTACAATTTCAGGCATGTCAGTTCAACTCGCTATTGAACGTGGTTCAAATTAAGGAACCTAATCTAGACTTGCTTTTCCCTTATGTTGACCAGAAAACCGAGAGAGGATGGGATTTTAGAGATAAGCTTTTTTTCAAATTGGTAAACATGAAATTGACACCGGCTGTTGGTGTTTTAGCATCAACACTGGACTCGCACTTAAACCCTGAATGAATACGTGAAATATGCATATAAAAGTATACAAAATAAGTGTCACATTCTGATATGTTTGTTCTGTCAGACTTGCAAAGAGATGCTGAACCAGCATCAGAGGGCTGTGAGCAGCAGGCAGACACTGCTCAACACAAGGAGGAGCCCAAGGAAAAGGTTAAAGACAATAAATAAATAGTAATCTGTCAATGTGTCATCTAAACAAGAATAACTTTTAAATTTTTTTAAACCAAGATCTTCAATTGATAATGGAAGCGTTTATCTTTTTTTCTTCCAGCACATCTAAAAAACCTCTCTTTTAGCCATTATGCTATCTCTCTCTCTCTCTTTTCCCAATTATTTTGATAAATTTGATTAAATAACATTGATTAAAAGTGAAGGCACAGTTTCATTACAACTATTGAGGTCTTTGGAAAAATCTTTAGACAGACTATATATAGTTAGAAAGCTTTTTTTAAGTTGCCGATGTGTTTTGCAGGAGCTGGACAGCAGCATCCTCTCCGGGGAGACTCTGTCCCCCTTTGAGGAAAGTTTTGGTAAGTCGTGTTCTCTCACACTATCATTTTAAATCTTTTATCGACCAATTGACTTAATGCTCAACATTTGGAGGATGTTGTTATTCTACTTTCTTTAATTCCCTAATCAGTTAATACAAAAAAAAAAAAGTTATTTAGTCCCATTTTAAAAGACAGTGAATCAATAGAATAGTCCACATGGCCAAAACAAATCAGATCTCGTTTACGTAGTTTGATATTCATGTCTATCCTTTCTAAGATTCTTTCAAAGAAATGTAAAAAGGAAGTTTCCAAAGACAGGAGTTCTCACATGGACTTTTGTTCTTGCTTTATCCCTCTACAACTGGCATCTTTACTGTTATATAAGACAAGAGTTTGGATTAGTCAAGTTGTTTGAGGTGGATGGGAGAGTCCTCCTACAGAGCCAAAGAGATATAAGAAAGAAAATGCCTGAGTGGTATTCTCTATCCATTAATGTTTTGTTTTTCCCCCCTCTCCTTCTTTTAGAGGCCCAGCTGTCAAAAATCACCCACCTCTCTCTGGTCACCAGCGATGTGCCTCCTGAGGTTCTGCCCTCCGAGGTTCTGCCCTCTGAGCAGCAGTCAGAGGAGTGAGCCCCTCCATCTCAAATCCAAGCTGTTCAGCTGCATTTACCTTATTTTGACTCAAACAGGTTCAGATCAGTTTGCTTCGCTTGTTTGTAATTTGAGCGCTCAGGCGTGATTTGAGTTGATGTTACGTTTGACCTCGTCTCTAATTTGACGGTTCTTTTTGACCCTGGTTAAGTAACTGTACAGTGTACAGTGGTGTTTTTTTCCTAATCTTTTTGCTGGTCCAGAGTTTCTTGGAGCACTGTTGTTACTGATGGTTTGTTCTGAGGTAACACGATTCTTCTTTGTTTCTTTGAAGAGTTTAATCCTTTTGTTATACAGAAAGTCCTCCTTTCAGTGGCTGTTGAGTGGAATGCAAAGAAAAAAATCAGTTTTTGTTTTGTACACATGCATGCTTTGAAGATCTGTTTTTTTTTTTTATTAATTTCGTAAAATAAACATTACAGGTCTGTCTTTCTTCCTTATTGTTGACTCAGATCATTTGTTGAAGTGATCTTCACAAAAAAAGGAAGCCAAAAACCTTCAAGACGTTGGTATACAAACAGATTTATTGGATTGTGTATAAAAGTGTTACATTCTTAACAGGATGAACCGTCTGTAGGTTATGGCACATTTAGTAGTGTTTTTTAACATGAAGTATTTGCCCTATGTATTATCAGAATGGACTCTTCTTATTCTTCAGAGTCCAAATCAGCCAGAACTCACCTTTCCCATTATTCATTTTGATTCTTTACCTCATTTTGCACTAGTAGTGATTCTGCCTCTGCTGGAGGACCATTTATCCACACAGATATTCAGCATTTGTCTAAATAAAACGTCTCTCTGCTGAAATTAGGTACAAAAATTATACTGATTTCATAAAAGGTCTCATCAACAGGGACTTTTTGCAACATTCGGGCCTCGGGAAACAAACATCTCAACACGCAATGTCCCATCTGTCAGAAAAAACAAATCCTGCCCTGAAGATGAGGTAGACCTGCTTTCCTCTTCATTGTCATTCCGAAAAGTCATCCACCGTTTGTTTTGAGCAGACACCGTTGCAGTGATCCTGGAGGAAGAGGCCGCGGCCGGCCACCGGGACGTCCCAGGTTCTGCGGTGCCCCGAGGCCGATTCACATAGCAGACTGAAGCACAGTTACATTAGTTCCCTGGATAAGGTTGTCATCTTCTCCATCGATCAGAGGGTCCCACTGATTGAAGCTCTTCTCCAGACCTGAAAAAGCCGTAAGAAATCTTAAACGGCGGCGTCTTAAGCCTGAAACGAGCAGAGAATGGGGATGATTAAGTCTCTCACCAAGGTGCCGCTGTAGAAAAGCCAAGGTGGCTTTGTTGCACAGGTCCATGGCGATCACCGGGTCGATCTCTCCCTTCAGTTTCAGCAGCTTCCCGATCCAGTTTGTCGTCAGGAAGGTGAAGTCTGGAAAGCTCTGGTGGACCGTACCTCTGAAAAAATGGAAGTAAGGAGAAGGGGGGAAGGGTGAGTGCGTTGGCTTTGCTGCTCCTTGCTCGCAGACGCGCTCTTTTGCTGTACCTGATGGTTATCATTTTCCTCTGTATGACGGTGGAGTCCAGCTTCCTCATGCGGCTGATGTTCCCCGCCCACTGGAACTTCTCGGAGTTGATGAAAAACACCGGTTGCTTCACGTGGGGAAAGATGTCGTCGTCTAAAGGGAACATCCAGGCGTCGAGGGCAACTCCACACCTGAGCGGAAGACATCATTTTTTACTGCTAGCAACTCTTCCCTGAGGTATTTAGGCCCACTAAAATACTGATTTAGATACTTAGTATTCCTTCTATTGTAGAAGGGATACTTCAAAATCACATTCAACCTGTTTGTGTCATAAACCCCTATTGATTTAAGCTGATTCTCATTCTTAAAGGGTAGATTCTTTAACAGATCAGCTTTCCCATTTCATCGTGACTATGTATTTACCATTTCCTGAATTCTGAGAAAAACAAAAACAACTTTATTTCAGTTAATAGCACTTGCCTACAGCCTGCGGTAAATTTGGCTGGTGTTCAGCAGACATCAGGCCTCTGATTGGCCAGGCATTGACATCACATGATGAGTGGTAAAACCAAACAGCCTCAAAAGAACCCAGTGGGGTTTTAAAACCACAGCAGCAGTGACCATGTGACTATTATTTTCGGTGGAAGCCAGCGGGGTAAATGGCTACAGTCAAACATCGTGGCCCAACGGCAAATTGCAGCAGTTACATTGGCATTGTGATGTAATATATCGTTGTGCCACATTCAGATGTCAGAGGACTCGCTGTAATCACCACATTGAAGTACAACGCCATTTTAATGGAAGATGTAAACTCAGTCAAAATTAGTAGAGCTGAAAATCTCTCAAATACTATTAGTGTCCAAAACCGTAAAATTAACTTGACTTCTGTGGGAAAATCTAAATGTATCTAGCCAAACGGGAACATGGCAGCTCTCTTTTAAAGTCATTTCAAATGAGCCGACCACTGTCAAGCAGAGAACAGTCCAAGCTGAACTTACAACCTTTTAATTTTTCACCAAGCATTAATGCATTAAATGCATCCCAAAATACAACAACCAACGTAGACTGCCGGGCACCTGTAATCTCACATCAGACAAAAATGGGCCGACTTTGTAACCAGTCGTAATTAAAAGAAGACTTCTGTCGATTCGTAGCTGTTTGTGACGTTTGCAAATAATTGCTTTTGGTTGCAAATATTAATTTAAAGCATTCAGAGCATCAAACACACCCTGACACCCTCTGACCGATAATAAATTGATGAGACGGTCATCAGTTCTGCCGGGTCTCCGAATGCATCGCGAAGGTCCTCCTTGATTGGTCCTTCAGTTCAGATGTTGGTTAAAAACTTCCTGTGTTTCAGCGTTTCTGGTATCATTGTTTTCTCACACTGTTTGTGGGGTTTTGTGGGTGTTGCATTGTCAGAGCAAACTAACCCTTTGCCTTTAAGGCCAGAAAAAACATTTCAGAGACTGATCTTTTAGATCTTAATTGGTCTCTGAAGCAAAAACGCTGAATACCTACAAAAGCTTTACTTTTAAAGAAAAAAAGTTATTTTCTAAAATCTTCAATTTGGATTGAGTGTTTTGTTGTTTAAAAGTCCTCAAATACAACAACCTTAATTCCAGATTTGATCATATTATGTGCTTAATCTATTCTCAAGATTTACTTGGAGAGTAGTGAGAGGATTTCGTCTTTCCTGCAGCATTGTTTCTTTTTTGTCCCCCCCCCGACAATTTCAACCCAGAGCTGGCCGAGTCTTTTAGAAGTTCTGAATAGGAAAAATCTGGATGAAAACAGTAAAATCTCTAAAACTTCCTACGAATGGGGCTCTTCTAGATGTCCATAGCAGGTTTGTTTCAGGTTAATACAACTTATTTTATTGAATTAAAACAACCTGAGACGTAACCTAAAGCTCCACCCTGCAGTGCTGTTGCACAGGGCAGCTAATTCAATTCAAACTCACCAAGATAAACCCGATTCACATTTTGTTTGACCTATTTTTCAGAGATAGTGCCAGATTTGCTCTGCTGGTAAATTGAATTTCCAGGTGCATTTATCTACCACAATTGAATTGATTGAATTGAATTGAATTGATTGAATTGAAAATTCAAGAATGCATGTATAAGTAAAAAAAAAACAACACATACTTAAATTTAACTTCCTTGCACAGAGCTTCGATAACCGTCGCTCCCCCAAAGGAATGTCCTACCACAGCCGTCCTGCACAGATCCATGGAGTTCTGTAGCTCAAAAAAAACAGAGGGGACACGGATTGGGTCAGTTCCAGGTTTCCCCGTCAGTTCACCGCTACATGAACCCTGGGACATCCCTGATCAAAGGCAGGCACGCGTATTGATCTCATCTGATCACCTCCAGCGTTGTCCAGTCGAACTGTGTCCGCAAAACGTTCTGCACCGCCACTCCGGCGTTGATTGCGGTGAGTCTATCCAGAGCCAGAATGCATTCATTTGCTCTTTGTTTCACCTGAATAACACAACAAAAAACAAACCATCAGCTTTATAAATTTGACATCATATATCAAGAAACAGTCCTGCTTCAAACCCCAGTCAACATGAATAGTGAATGAAAAAGACTAAAGTAAGAAGGATGTGGTTCTCCTGAGTGATTAGCTGGCAGCGTGCGGTGGCTGTAAAGCTGATGTGTTGTGTAATTCAGCAGCACTCTGGAATGTTGCTGGATGGTACCTTAGGGCTTTCGAATGTGCTCATCTCTCCTCACCTGGTTGTTTCTCAGGGGGAATTCGCTCTCTCGGTGCTTCAGGGCTCTGTAGTACATCCACTCCTGCACCAGGTCGTCTCGGGCTGACGCTGAGCTTTTCGGACCGTTCTCGCCAGCCTTCTCTGACTCCGTCTTCTCACGGTAGTAGTAAGTGGCTGAGGCTGACTCATCCCTGGGTAAAGTAAACAAACAAATAACGGAAATTAAGCATTGCAGAAGATCAGCAAAGCTTTCTTTGGAAACTTTGGTTTTACTGCTATCTAATCGAACATCCTGTTTTCAAGAGAATTAGAAAAAAAGGAAGAAACAAACGCACACCGTCTAGATAAGTGCTGCTGTTCTGAGCAGCTTTAGTTGCAAGCCTCTGCGACTAATGATCATACATGTAGCCTGGCTTAATAGTCACGAGGGCCCCCATGCTTCTTTTTGGCTTTGGGTGCGGCTGAAAGTCTGCGACAAACCGCCTCAGTCCACAGAGCAACTGTGGCCATTATGTTAATCTCCATACGGTCCCCTTGTCTCTATACCCAAAAAAATGTGATGAGCTGGTCGGTACCATTGTTTACACACCCTTTCCACTCCGACTCCACGGATAAACAGAGAGCCGCTCGCAGACGGGGCTGCTCTCTGTCGCTGTTGGCTTGGCAAATGATTGGCAATTGGCAATTTTTAGACGATTTTATGTCTGCAAGGGTTTGTGCATGTTATAAGTGTGTTATTACGCGTCATTAATGTCGAGAAGATGCTTAAGAATGTTAAAACGACTGCTATGGGTTCATAGAGGAGAGTGAAATGGAGGTTGGTTCTTCTTAATTGTGATATGTGATATACTTCCATTTTTAGCCTAGGTAGGTAAAGGCTAGATTTCATCCTAATATTGAAATGAAGATCAGCTAAGAGTGTTCTTTATGGAAAAAGAATGGTTACCTGTGTTCCACGGATGCCACGATGAAGCCCTGAGAGGCCAGCTCCACACATATAGCTGAATACAGAGTCCTAGAAGGATATACACATATAAACATCTGGGCTCTAAGTGAATGGTTCCAAATGAGCTGACGTGGGATAACAAAAGGCGCCCGAGCGTACCTGAAGGCTCCGAGGCCATGGGAGAAAATAACCACAGGACACTTTTCACTAGATTTAAATGGAGCATCCGTGTAGGCTGGGATCTTGTAGGACCCTGATATATAAATAATAAAAAAAACACAGACACAGATATAAGTTTTTACCCACCCCCACATTGTTTCTATTCCCACATTTGGCTCCCGCACCACCTCACCAGACTGACATTTCAACTGAAGAACTGATACACAGATACTGGTCACAGATTTTTCTCATGTTACTACCTCTGACTACCTCTGGCACGAGGCATGACTCATCACTTAACTTGTTATTTACAGTGAAACAGTGTTTTGGTTCCCGAGTGACTCATTCTTAAATTGGTGGCATAAAGGGCAACCCTGTGTCTGTCAGAACAGGATGTTTTCCTCAATCTTCATACACAGATAAATAGAACACAAGTCCCTTTTCACATTCCTGGGCTATCCTTTTTGATCTGGGTTAAACTGGTCGAACTAGCAGAAAAAAACCCAGTGAGGAACTAGAAAAATGTGGGGAAATAACACGAAAATAGAAGCTTCATGCTGTGGAATAGAAGTTTCTGTAATTATATGACTAAATGATGGCCTACTGATCGAATTGTTGTGGCCAGCCGACTGATCAACAACCATAAATAGGCCATAGTAGGATACTTGGGAAGAAAAAAAAAAGTTCTAATGTAAAATATTTATTCCGATGAAGTGGATGTTTCTACTTTAAGTTATTCACCAAAGAGGTAGTTGAAAATCCTTTCGCCGAGGCTTCGTTTAATCTTCATGAAGTCTGCAAGACCGTTAAAGTACTCCCTGCATGGGACCCAGTTGGGTTTCTCGGCCCTGTCGGTCTCTTGACACGGATAGTAAAGCCTGAAGAAGCTGCCCTGCCAGGGAGATTAAACAGAAATGCAGACAAAGGCACAACAGTGTCAAATGTAACGGCAACAGCGTGTTTCTAATTTCCTCCCACTATTGCAGTTAGCTTGAATTCCTCAAATTGAATTGAAAAAAAAAAACCCTGTAACAATTTGTCCTGACTGAGTATTTCCAGACAAGTTCAGGATAGAAAAAAAGAAGCTAATAAAACCACAAAGACTATCAACACACTTTTTAAATAAAATAATACCTTTGCCGTGTGATCCATCATGAAATCTGTGCAACCCACTGTATTGGGGCCTTTGGGAGAAGGGATCCCAAGAATACTGCAAGAGCCTCCCATTGCTATGAACCCGAGTGTGTACCTCCTCTGCTCTGTCAAAGGAAAACACACATCTTAAAAATAAAACAATTGAAACATTCAAATCATTTGAACAGAGACCATAAGGCTGTCAACCTGGCAGGCATAGACAGAAATGGTTCCTACATTCATTATCCTATCGGGCTTATTTCAGACAAGGGGTTGTAAAGTTTTGACATATCATGATAAAAAATTTTAAAAAATGTATCACTGAACTTTACTCTGCTTATTGCTGATGACACACTTTACGGCACTTTACGGTATTAGTTGTATTACAAAGTATTTCATTAAACGACAGAGTCGTTGACATTTCACCCAATTCACCTGGGTGAATAAGTAACACTGTCCAGTTCAAAGCCTTACCTGTCTTTGCCCACTCGTAAATTGTCTTCACTCCTAACTGTATGAATCCTCCATGAGAAAACATCGACCTCCGTCGTTTTGAAAGCGAGCCAACCCTCTGTATGAAGTTGCTGGCAGCCGAAAACAGCCAGTTATAGGCGACTTAACAACAAACCTACCAGACAGACGGAGATGTGTAGGTGGCCAACGTTTCTACATCAATTTCGTAACATTACCACATCGTTATACGAGTTCCTCTGCAACGGTGTTATCGGTGTGAGTCACTTGGGAGCGGTTTGACACATTCGCGTTTGCTCACGTTCGGTGCCGATATCCGTTCCCAGCCTCCAACGCCTCCGCGCGGCCACGCGGCGAAACATGAGCGCGCTCGCTGAAACGTAGTCCCCTACTTGCTGCTCTTTGAATTGTGATATCATTGGACTCCCTTTACTGTTTCTTGTTGATTTCTTTTATTTTAGTAAAAGCTGTATGAAAGTGTTTTTTTATTTTAAAAATCGTGTTATCATATTTGATTAAATAAATAAATAAAAAACTGTGACATGTTCTCACGCTTTTATCACTGTTAAAAAATGTTTACGTTAGTAGACAAAGAAAATTGCCTATTGTCCTTTTATCCAAGTAAAACGTTTAATAGCATTGGAATAATTAGTTCTACTTAACAGTAGTAATTAGCATTTTAACTTAAAATGGTAGAAAATATAAATCTTAAATGTATTCAGCATAGCACAGTACTCAGATTCCAGTACTGCTGTTATAATGCTGAACGGGACAAGGTTTTTTTTTTTAAAAAGAAAGACAAATCTCTTTTAAGTGTTTTAAACATAATTGAACCCCCGCCTCTTTAAAACGTGTGGACAGGACACAGTCGTGCCGGGGGAGGTCCTGACGTAGAAAAAGGAAACAAAACTAGACAAAACACCTGCTAGCTACTACTAGCCTCACAGCTTAACGCCGCTGTAAGTGTTAGTCCCCACCGGCGGAAAAAAATGTTCTTTAGATGAAACCTGACCCAGAATAATGTGGCCTATATAGGCTACACACTTGAAGGGTAAACAACTCAGCACACATTAACCCAACAGCTGTTGCACCATCTTTACGACTGTTTCCACAGTTTCTGCTAACACTGGGTGAAGTTTTGCATAACACTGCTGTCAACGACGACAGTCTTGCGGTCAATAAGCACGTGTATTTGTTGACATGCAATTTTGTCACTTTGATACTTATATATTTGTTTTAAGTATATATTTCAGATATCGCGTCAATCTTCATTGTCTCAACTTGCGCAGTAACAGCTTCTTCATGAAATAAGTCAGACTGTCCGTTTGATTAGTGTACAGGTGGCCTCCAAGGCTGCAGGGGGCGCTAGTGAGAGGGAAACGTCGAAGAACCCAAACAACGATGGCGTGTTAGCAAAGCCGACTGCATTTGTCTAATTTATTGGTCGTTACAGTGTGTTACAATGAAATTGGTGAGTAAAATACAGTTAAGTAAAAAGGCATGTTGTGGAAAAGGTTCCAGATAAACCGAAGAATTCAGAAACCGTATCGCACAAATTGAAATTGGTGTAAGCCTGCTAGCTAAACAGGTTAGTGTCATACAGCAAGTAAACTAGTTCACTGTAAACCTTGTATATTGCACAGAAAAAATACTAATATTCTCAAAAATTAATTCGAGTGTAATTAAACTATCTTATGGAATTTATTTTTTCTGCAGGTTATTCTTTGAGTAAAGCAGGGTGTTTTTCAAAAACAAGAGTTTACATACACTTCAATCCTTTTTGGTGTTGTTTTTATTCTTTTGTCTGGTTTCTAATGTTCATTTGTTGTTTTGCCACATGTTTTCTTTCTGACTTGTGCTTTTCTCCTTGCAGTATTGTCTCTCTGGACATCCTACATTGCCTTGCAATGTCCTCAAGTTCAAATCTACTACTATTATGTTGGATTGTGGACTGGACACCACGTCAGTCCTGAACTTCCTTCCACTCCCTTTAGTGCACAGGTAAGACATCTCTACTTTTTCCATTTCTGTCGTAGAAAGCCATTTGTCTAAATGGTTATAATTTTTGTTCAACAGCCCAAGACTCTCAAAGCTCCCTGGCTGGATTTTCAAAGATGGAACAATGAACTTAGAAAAGGTATAAATACTTGTTGAACATAGAATTACTGTGTTTATGTTTATCCTGACACCTGCTTGTATCCCACGAAAGCAGTAGATGTATTTCATAGATATATCTGTGCTGTACGCCTTCACACTATAGCAAACTATTTTCCCCTCTTGTCTTCCCAGGAACTTAAAGAATGCGCCGGGAGGGTGTTTGTAGACTCGCAGCCTGAGTTCTGTCTCCCCGAGGTACTTAGCCCATATGATTTAGTTTTTTTTCAAAGTCTTTGCTGTTTATCCTGAGCTCAAAGGGATTTTCTGCATCTTTGCATCACCTGTGTTTACTGCTTTAAGGATTCTCCTTTCCAGCTCCCGCCTCAAAATGGAAATTGTACAATATTCTCTTGCATTTAATTTGATTAATGAGAGTCTTTTAAAACTATGTCAAACGTAGAGAGAATTGCTGGACCTGTCCACCATTGACGTCATCCTCATCTCCAACTACCACTGCATGATGGCCCTCCCCTACATCACTGAACACACAGGCTTCACAGGGACGGTGTATGCCACAGAGCCCACCCTGCAGATTGGGAGGTAAGGAGATATAAACATCACTTTTTTAAAAAGTTACTTTAAAATGAAAATAGAAGACTCTTTTTGTTGTATTTAATATTTAAATTTTTCTATTTTTGACAGGCTGCTTATGGAGGAGCTGGTGAACTTCATGGAGAGAGTTCCTAAAGCCCAGGCTGCCACCTGCTGGAAGAACAAAGACATTCAGAGGTGTGTCGAGGTCTTAGTCAAGCTTAAGGCCAGCTTGCCACAAACGGCCTTCGATACAATTATATGCAGACACTGGGATAAATTAATTAATTAAATTCCTTATGACCTGTAGGTAAATAGCTGTTCATCCACTTACACTACAAATCCCACAATGCTCGGTACAGCTGCCTCAATGAAATAATTAGTGGTCAGACCTTTTTATTGGAATGCTTAAGCTAGGCAGTGCGATAAAGCCAAAGGACAAATGTGGTGTCAGAAAGCCTCAGAGATTAGGTGGTTTAAGTGACATACTTTTTTTTTCACCGTTTTATGCAACATGAACAACTCACTTGTATAGCAGTGGTGAGTTTTTGTCACACAGAACACCCCTGTTAAGAGTAGGCAAAAAGTCAGAAGCGGGAAAGTTTTTTTCTTTTTTCAATAGCGCATGTGAAAGCAAAAATCATTAACAGTGTGAAGGAGGGAGTTTAATGGTCCAGAAATAACAATACTGTGCCTGTTATGCTCCATGATTAAATGTGTAAGGACTGTCAAATGTATTTTTTCTCCATAAAAGATGCAGAGGGACACAATGTAATTATGTAAAGATCAACCTTAAAAACACATTGACCACACATAGATTAGATAGCAATATTTAGCAGTTGCAATATTTGTTATCTCAAAGGGTCCACAATCAGAACTTTATTGAAAATGTCATTACTTTAACAAATCTGCTCCAATGTCTTGTTAACAGGTTCTGTTTTTAATGCAGGTCATAGTTTATCCACATACAGCACTTATTTCCATCTCCACCACACATGTAGTAGAAAGTGGAGTTAGTTATAGAATGTGGCAGCTCTGATCAAACATTTAGCAGGTATGGAACTGCTCACAGAAGGTTTCAGCATTTCAAAGTCTGCTTGGTTTAGCTTTACCCATGGCCCATGTACATTTATTGTCTTTAGAAAAGCAGAAAAATGTTCTTTATAGAAGGGAAATGCTGTATTTAACTAGTTATATGATTTCCATGACCCGTTCACCTTTACAACTTTGAGAATTTCCTGGTTCGTCAGCTGAATAGATCGTATTATATGTTTTTTGACCATTTTTCAACTGTCACCCACCTTTTTATAGTTTAATATTCCCATTTTACTTTGTGTAGTTAATTTTTTTTCCCCCCACTTATCTATTTTAATGAAGGAAAAGTTGGTTAGAATGAAGCGCTTTTGTACTGTTCTTACAATGTTAATCCTATATGTCCCACGTGTTTAGCTGCATTTTAAATATTGAGCCTCTAAATGGTCAATTGACACCCCCTGTCTAAGTCAAGGACTTCTTTCTTTAAACAGATAGACAACATATAAAGCATGTTTTTTTCCCCCTCCATCCTGGATAGAGTCCAAACTATCCAACTGTTTAATTTCCTTTGAACCATTTTTGAAAAATTAAATTAATAAAAATATATAAAATATGGAATAAATGGAATGTGTTCTTTCACCAGGATGCTCCCGGGGCCGCTGAAGGACGCAGTGGACGTCTGGACATGGAAGAGATGCTACAGTATGCAGGAGGTCAATTCAGCCCTGAGTAAAGTGCAGCTTGTGGGTTATTCGCAGAAAGTGGTAAGAATAATTCATTTGAATAATTATTAATCTTTGATATTAAATGATTATATGACCAAATTAATTAGCTTTTTGAACATAAGACCATTCAGATTCTTGTAAAGAAAGCAATAGAGCTTTACATTTTTTTTTTTTTTTTTTGTCACAGTTTTAGCAAATCTAACTCACTTCTTGGCCCTTTATCATCATCATTAACATGATTTGCCCTTTAAATGACTGGAAGCAGCCACTTTTTTACAGATGAATAAAGCTGTTGACGCATGAACTTACTCCACAAAATCTGAGAGATTTGTTCTCTGTCCCACAGCTTTGCGCACAGAACGACCTCATTATTTTCTCCCTGAGTTTGCGCAGCGTGCTCTTGCCACATTATCTGGGATGAAACTGTTTCTCATGCAGCCTCCAATAACTAGGTTTTTGTTGTTTTGGCCTGAAAAGTCGTATTGTTTAGAGTGAGCTGTCAATCAAACGATAAAAAAGCTAACTGGGTTTTTGGGACTTTTGTGGGGGAGTTTTCTCATTGTTGTAATTCTTGTTAATACAAAGTTGGTCATATAACCACCTCTGTGAAAGTTTGTATCTAGATAAAAACTCCTTTCAAAGCAGTGTTTTTTTTTGTCTCTCTGAAGCTTAAAGATAGACTTTAGGTAATTTCTGTGCTTGTTTATTGACAGCTGCATTCACTGATAATGTTTTAACAGTTTTAAATCTTACCGTCTTCCCCAGGAGCTGTTTGGAGCCGTGCAGATCTCCCCGTTAAGCTCCGGTTATTCCCTAGGGAGCTCCAACTGGATCATCCAGTCGCATCACGAGAAAGTGGCCTACGTGTCGGGATCATCGCTCCTCACCACACACCCACAGGTAGCTTTTCAGCTCAGCTCAGTTTTCTTCATGTAGCATCCAAATCACAATCATTGTCATCAGAATTACAAGTAAGTCTATTTCATACAGAACAAATTTAAAAAAGAAGTTCCCAGCTAAATCTAGGAAAAAAACAGGGCATAGCAGCAGATTGTCTTTTATCCAATCCTCCAGCCTGAACGTGCACAAGGCAATTGTGGAAAGAAAAAAGCTCCTCTGTCAGATCCAAAGCAACAGCTTTGGTTTATTCAGAATTTATGGCCATTTTCTTCCAATTATCTGATGCCGGGTCCAAAGGGCGCCAGACTTGGGGATCCATCCTGTGGATCCCAAAGTCTTCCCAGGCCAGATGGGATTTAGAATCCCTCCATCTAGTCCTGGGTCTATTTCAGGCTCTTCTTCCTGTAGGATGCACCTCAAAATAAAAGCGATGTGACCGGGAGGCGTCCCAACCACCTCGACCTCCCCTCCCCATCTCTAAGGCTGAGCCTATTTCAGCCTCCTGTGTCTGCTTGTCTGATATTACAAGCTATAAATACGGACCAATGGTTAAGTGAAACCTCCATCCTTTTTCTTCTCCCAGCCGATGGACCAGAGCTCCCTGAAGAACAGCGACGTTCTCATCCTGACGGGACTCACCCAGATGCCCACAGCTAACCCCGACGGCATGCTCGGGGAATTTTGCAGTAACCTGGGTAAGGGTTGAATCCTTCAAAAAGGAAATCTTCCCCACACCCTTTTCTTATTTGAGATTTCTTTTCTCGATTTATCCCTGAGCTCCTGTCCTTGCCTTGTCTGTTTGAAACCAGCCATGACGATCCGAGCAGGAGGCAACGTGCTGGTCCCGTGTTATTCCTCCGGAGTCATATACGACCTGCTGGAGTGTCTCTACCAGTTCATCGAGAGCGCCAACCTCGGAACCACGCCGTTTTACTTCATCTCACCTGTAGCCAACAGCTCACTGGAGTTTTCGCAAATCTTTGCAGAATGGTGAGAAAGCTGATAAAATCTGTCGCTTATATCAGCTTTTCTGTTGTGACCAGATTTCTAAAGTTTTCATTTCAAATGTTTTCAGGCTCTGCCATAACAAACAGACAAAGGTTTATCTCCCCGAGCCTCCGTTCCCCCATGCAGAGGTGAGTCCAACTGCCCAGCACAAAATGGCGTTGCGTTTGAGGGAAACCTGGGTTTAACGCATCTCCTCTCTGCCTCGTCTTTGTCTTTTCATTCGTGGCTTAAAAAAGGTTTCCAGTGTTAAACACACCTTCCAAAAAGGATGTACACCGACTTTCACAGCTAATATTTTTGCATATTGAAACATTATAAAAGAAATTGTGGTTTTCCAGGGTTTAAAAATGAGGAGAAATTGATTATAGACATATTCCAGTGTGTAATGACTCAACAAAAGCTGAATGCTACATGCTGTTATTCAGTAAAGTATTAAACCAGCTCTAGCTCAAAGTCATGGCCTTAAGCTTCCGTTATCAGTATATGATATGTTTGTGAAGTCATTTTATTTGGCAGTTGAAAAGATTTTTTTAGCAAGCTGCTGAACATTTGGATCATACCTCTCCACAAGTTGTTCATTCCAAATGAGCCATACTTGTTCTTGTTCTACTGTCACTGTCATGAAGTTTAAATAACTGAAACCTGAAACTCTTGTAAAGTTTTTTTTCTTTGTTGCTGCTCAGACCTTGGGGTAAACTTCCTGTCCTAAATGTTTCCCCCTTGTCCAATGAAAGACTCGAAAGGGTTTGGAAATGGCCTTCTTATAACTCTTCTTTTCTAAGATCACTGCTTGTCTTTCCTTTTTGGCCTTGTGCTAACAGACACCTGACTCTACCAGAGGCAAATATAACATTTTAAAGAGGCGCTCACACTCAAAGTGTGTTTTTGTGTTTTTGATCAGCTGATCCTGCCTGTTACTTCATCTCTAAATTCAAATGAAAACCATAAGAATGTTTTATTTTTTTAAGACACTGCTTATATATTTTTGGCTTTGTTGTTTATTTATTTTTATAGTATATATATTATATTTTTAATTACACAGTGTTTTTGTTTTCATCTGATGTTTGATATATCTTGCATTAAGAAAGGTGTTTTATCTAAACCAACACATAGAGCTTTGGTGCCTTCTTTTTTCCTTCAGCTGCTTCAGCTCTTCTGGTTTCTTGCTTTTATATCCAAGCGCCAATTGACTTTTACAGACAAGGAACGCCATTTTTTTTTTTAAATGGGCACTAGTTAAACTGAAAGAAGATGATGGATTTTAATTTTTCTGACTGTCCTTGAATGGATCCTTAAGGAAAAACATCCAGTGCAGAAACTTTTGAACCAACGTTATAATATTTGATAAAAAAGGTTTCAGATCTGTCCACTCTTTATTTTACACTCGCCAGAGTTACATTTTCTGTCTTTTTCTTGTGTTCTTACTCCAGCTGATCCAAACTAACAAGCTGAAGCATTACCCCAGCATCCACGGGGACTTCAGCAGCGAGTTCCGCCAGCCCTGCGTGGTTTTCACCGGCCACCCCTCCCTGCGCTTCGGGGATGTGGTGCACTTCATGGAGCTGTGGGGCAAATCCAGCCTCAACACCATCATCTTCACAGGTAACGACGGCCGACAACGCCTGAACACAGGGTGTGCAGTGTCCCGTTTGGGTGACGACAGACTAAAAGACTCGTTTCGGACTGTCTTGTCAGAGCCGGACTTCTCCTACCTGGACGCCCTCGCTCCCTACCAGCCTTTAGCCATGAAGTGCGTCTACTGTCCCATCGACACACGGCTCAACTTCCACCAGGTGTCAAAGCTGCTGAAGGAAGTTCAGGTATCCTAATCGACACCCACTCATTATTTTGTGGCCTCCGTATGTCGGTAAGAAATGATACACCCAAATTAGATAAATACCCAACTGACAGTTAGTACGGGACGGAAACTTTGTCTCACGGGAAAGTTTCACACTCGACAGTCTGATGAAATATCCTGGTTGTTTTTATTTTCCCAGAAAAAATCTTCAGTGTGAGTCCTCCTTGTGCAATAGTGGTTTCAGTGAGCAAGTAATGATTCCCTTAGTCCCGTCAGTTACACAGGACAATGGAGACAAATTTCAGAGTTAGCAGACACCTGACACATCAGTTCTCTGCCTCTGCTGAGGGAAGTAAATACTAAATTGTTGAAGATGTCGAAACTTGTAATTTATCCCCCCCGAATGTCCAAGGAAAACCAGAAAAAAATGTTTCTTTTTTTTTTCTTTCTGTCCCACCTGCGTAACCAGTTTAAAAGGTAATTGTGTAACTGGTGTTTTAGTTGACTGTTAAAGCCTACTTTTTGTATGTCGCTTTGGATAAAAGCGTCTGCTAAATGCATACATTTAAAAGGGAGAAAGGCACTCTGACTGGATAAATAAAGCCTTTGGACAAGTGTATGGAATAGATAATAGATCTCTAAAATATGTGTGCCAATTTGTTATGCGGCAGTGAAGAAAACAGGGTTTTCCCAAAACCGCTCCGCCTTAAAACAAATGCCTTTTGTCTTTGCTTGCTCCAGCCTAAATTTAAACCATTTACAGTCCTGTCTTCAATGTCAGAATGCCCCCAACGTTGAAAGTGGAAAAACTGTGACACAGTTCGGGTGGCAACACAAAGCTCTCCCCAACGGAAATCCTCAGAACTCAGATTTGTCGGAGTCAAACCGTGAGCTGACGGCCTCCCCCTGTCGCCCCCCCCGCAGCCGCTCCACGTGGTGTGTCCCGAGCAGTACACCCAGCCCCCCGCCAGCCAGTCCCACCGCTCCGACCTGATGCTGGAGCTGCAGCCGCCCCCGATGCCGTACCGACGCTGCTCCGTGCTCAACCTGCCGTTCCGACGCCGATACGAGCGGGTCTACATCCTGCCCGAGGTAACTCACCGGTGAGACCTTCACCTGGAACACTCAGGCATTAGGTTGCTGACGCTGACTCTGCTTTTTCTCCCCTCAAGCTGGCCAACTCTCTGGTGCCCACCGAGGTTAAACCCGGCGTCTCCGTGGCGACGGTGTCGGCCGTGCTGCACTCGAAGGACAACAAGCACACTCTGCAGGTAAGTCGGCAAACCGCCCCCGAGCACGGGACGTCCCCCCTCTGTTCCCGCTGACGGTTTTTTCTCCGCTCACGCGCGGGCAGTCTGTGCCCAAACCGCCCCCCGCGCCCCCCAGCAAGAAGAGGAAGCGGGTGATGGAGGAGCCCCCCGTGGTGCTGGCCCCCAAGCCCCTGCTGAGCGGAGCCGTGCCCCTGGAAGCTTTTCTCACCACGTTACAAAAGGTCTGAAATCGGCACGTCCTCATTTTTCTGCCGATGTCAACAGAACTTTAAAGAAAAAACAAAAAACTTTTGCCTTCTTTTTGTTTTGCAGCACGGGATCACGGAGGTGAAGGTGGAGGAGGCGGGGGACGGGCACATCCTGCACCTGCAGGCCGAGGACACGCTGATCCAGCTGGAGGAGGACGGCACGCACATCGTCTGCGACAACAACGAGCCTCTGCGAGCAACGCTCCGGGACCTGGTGCTCCGCTTCCTGCAGAAGCTCTAGCCACCAGACTCAACCCTTTCATGTTTACACGTTTTAATGTAAAGCTCTGTTATGTTTCCTTTGTCTCTTCTTTTTTTTTTATAAAACATGCACAGAGGGATTATTTTGTATTAAACTGTGTTCCAAAAAACCCAACATATCCAGTAAGTCTTTAATCTCTGAAAGTTGAAGGCCAATGAGCAACTTTATTTTTTTTTTGTGAACATGTTAGAATGTGTTGAAATGAGATGAGGCGTGTGAACTGAGGCTATTTGTTAGGCCACCATATGTAGCGGTTTGGTTTTTAGACAGATACAGTTCTGGCTCCGTTCTGGAGAGCCAAGCCAGTTTAACCTGAACCAAAATTACTTTAATTCAAGGAAGTAAGAAAGAAACTGGGAGTAAAAGAGCGGATTGGTTAGAATATCTGCAGACTTTCTTCCTGTTACTCCAGATATTTGTTTTTACCAAACAATCCAGCAAACAAAGTAAAGCCCATGGTGTTGTGCAGATCCATACTTAAGTCGATGTCTGCCCAACTAAAGAGGAAGTGTTCGATGCACCACACAGAAAATACATTTCAAAATATTTAATTGTTGCAGCGTTGACATGAATCTAAAATACATTTAATAATAAGCTTTAAATGTACAATATCTTACAGTGTACTACATATTTGTTTGATAATACAACTGTCTGCAGCAGGTGGAACACAGAGGATAAATGCCAGAAAAGGACCCCTGACATTTGTGACGGCAAAAGAAAAAAAGAAATACTACATTCATATATATATATATATAAAACTTTCCCCATCAATGACAATAAACAATTCCCACAAATTTGGACAGATGTAACAAATTTAACTGACGGATCACTTTTGTCCAGTTGGGCAGTAAATTGTTCAGGGAAAAGAGGTGAAGGTATCTGGGTGTTTGTTGCGTCTCAGCGGGGGAAAAAAAAAAAAAAGGGAAAGCACAGCTCACACGCAGAAAGAGCAAACGGGGCTTTTCTCTGGACTACCTGACATGTCTTAACTCGGCTGTCCAGCTTTTGCCCTCTTTGCTCTCTCTGCTGTTTTTGCACAGAGCTTCCAGGCAGTGCTTTGAGAAGGTTTTACGAGTGCCCACAACAATTGGTGGCGTAACCCAGGCAGCTTTGTAACGATCAGGACTCAGTCTCGCAGTCACGTCAGTCCGAGGCAGGTTTGTTTCTGTAGTCTTGAAGTGAGTGAGGACAAATTTGTTTTAAAAAAAAAAGATAAAATGGTGGACAGCAGAGGTAGCACAGTTGGGAGACCAAAGCACAGGGAGAGGAACCCGACAGTCTCCAGTCGTGGTGGTGATGTTACAGTTACATTTAAACCATCATCCTCATAGAAAACCGGCAGATTCAACGTTAATGGCTGTAAAACTCAACCCTTCCCGGCTTCTCACATTTATATTTTTGGTTTAGTGGAACGTGATGGAAGTTAAGATACATTAAAGCTCTTTATGAAAATTTCTGATTGCCACAGAGGAGATTTACAGCCTTTTTGAGAGCATCTGTTTTGGTTTTTTCCAGCCAACAGTTTTACCACCTTTTGGCTCCTTTTTGCTCTCATATTGCTTTTTCATCCACTGGATGCTAAAGAAAACCGCTGGAAAACAAAAAATATCACTGTCCACTTTAGTTCTGTGTTCACCATTTTTTTTTCTCTTCACAACCCACCCACCACAATCAAGAAAATGCTTTTTAGGAGCTTTGAGAGTAAGACACCGTCCTGGTTTTTTCTTCCCTGGCTTAAAGTCCTCAGATGTCAGACACTTAATCTGTGCAAACTTATCATCCGTTGAGTCACTGGCTGCCTTGAGAGCCAATTTTATCTGCTTTCAGTTGCCTTTACAAGGGTCTGTCTATGTGTGTGTGTGTGTGTGTGTGTGTGTGTGGGTGTGTGTGTGTGTGGGGCAGGGGGTTAATCTGATTGGTGTGTCCTGTTTGTTGTCAGAAGCTCCATTTTTCTGCTCTACTTGGATTCCTTCTCTGCGTCCAGCAGTGCAGACTGGATGTCCAGCTTCTTCAGCTCCTCCACCAGGTCCCCGTTCTGGTGCATCTGCAGCAGGATGTCGCAGCCGCCCACAAACTCGCCGTTCAAGTACACCTGGGGGATCGTGGGCCAGTTGGAGAAGACTTTGACGCCTGGGGTCAAAGAGACAGAATATGAATTAATTTAAAAAATATATATATATATTTTCTCCTAAAGGAAAATTATATTGTAGCAGTTTTTTTCCTTCTTCAACCAATAATTAGAAGTTTCCAGTTATTGCAGATGGCAGGGACAACTTCCTGCCTTTCAAACAGTCAAACTAGTCAAACAGTTAGTTTAAACTAACTGTTGAACAGACACTAGAAGACCGTCACATTCAAAATTGGCAAAGTGAAATTAGGCAAATGACATCTTGTGATATTTAAGCAGAAATTAAGCAAGAATATACATTTGAAAAATGTGAAAACCTTGGATATAAGCAGGCCATTTGTAACCTTAGAACAAACAACACTAGAACCCCTAAAGTCACTGGTCGTTATAAAGGTTTAGAGAGAAAGTTAAGATTATGTCAACTCTGTCCAGATAACTGTGTTGGAGATGAGTATCATGTTTTGTTTGAGTGTAAAAATGTAGAAAATATGCCATTACAGAGAGAAGCATTTTCCACAGTATTATGTGAAGAGCCCATCCATGTTTAAAATGGTTTCATTATTTCAGTCTAGAAAAAAGAAAATAATTTCTTTTGTTCAAGGGATGAAAAAATAAAAACTACATTGGCCCAATGGGAAAAGTCTGGATTAGAAAGCCGTGTGAAGCTGCCATTAACAACTTAGTACCCTTAACTTTCAGGAGCTTTCTAAGAAAGCTTTCTAAAAACAACATTAAAACTTGGAAATACAGGACCTGACTTGCAAAGAGCAGGCAATGACACAACAACGGAAATTGGGATGGAAAGCACCCAAAAAAAAGCCTGACATGACAGTGATGGGTCATCATCTGTCACAGGGCACCACACCCATGGGTGCTGCTGCACCACACTGATAAAAAGAGTGACGTTAGGAATTCTTAATATCTCCCTAGATGAGGTCGTTCACAAATATCTGAAAGCTTTTTGGCGGGTTTGAAAGAGGGTGAGACTAATTGGATTATCTAGATTTACTCAGCCGAAAATGTCCATGCCGACATGTTGGAAAGTAGAATAAATACACAAATAAACGTAAAAGCCAGATGAACTGAACTGTTTGGTACGATAGATCCAGAATGTTTACATATTTGATCCCTACTTGTTGCGTTTGTCAGGCCAACACACAGGTGATCGGTGCACTGACCTTCTCTGAGTTCCTGGTCTTCCAACACGTTGTAGGACGCATAGTTGTCCACGCCGTGCATTCGGAGGATCTGGACGACGGCGTTGCTGAAGCCACACATGGGCTGAGCGGGTGTCCCCTTCATAAACACCACCACCTTGTCCTTCTTCACCATCTCGCCAAGGTCCTTCTGGACATCCGCCGCCGAGCACAGGAACCGGGCCGAGGCGGATAACACGCGCCCGTCGGCTTGCCCGGTCAGAAGGGCCGCCGCACCCGACCTGACACACTTGGCAGTGGACCTCATTAAACTGTTCATTATCTTCGATAAGTTTTAGCTCTGTTTGAGAAGAAGAAAACGACGTACGGGATGATAAATTGAGCTCTGCTCGAGCCGGAGTGAAAGTCGCCCGTCAACACAGACTTCAAGCATGCGGGGCGGGATCTAGTCGGTTATTGGACAGCTGGCAAAAAACAAAGTCTACCCTGAGTTATTATTGGCCGAGCCACACGTCAATTTTAATACCGTATGCGTCAACTGGAGCGTCAACTATCCCAGTTACACAAGAAACATTATTCATTGTTACTATATAATTGGGAAAAACTTATTAACCGCTACAGCTTTTTTAGTATCGGTTTTATTAGTTTGTACCTTCAAAATAACAGATATTAAAATATAATTATTTTAAAAATGCAGTGAGGCAGTGACTCGCGCCTTTAAGAACTTCCGGGGTGAGCTGCGGCAAAAGGAAGTAGAATAAGCAGTAGATTCAGAATCTTTTGAAAGATGGCGGCGAACACACAGAAGAACAACAACAAGCCAGGGAAAAGTGGAGGTAAAGAGGCTCAGCCTCTGATAATCCCTAAAACCCCCGCTGAGGAGCAGCGTCTAAAGCTGGAGCGGTTGATGCGGAATCCCGAAAAGGTCGCCCCTATTCCGGACCGCCAGAAAGAATGGAAACCGCGGGCCCCGCCGGAGTTCGTCCGGGACGTGATGGGCTCCAGCGCGGGTGCCGGCAGCGGAGAGTTCCACGTTTACCGCCACCTCCGCCGCAGGGAGTACCAGAGGCAAGACTTCCTGGACAAGATGGCAGAGATTCAAAACAAGGACGAGAGATATATGGAGAGGCTGGAGCAGAACAAACTGGCTGCTGAGGAGCGAACGGCGAAGCGCAGGAAGAAGCGCGAGAAGCTAAAGCAGAAGAAGCTAATGGCCAAGAAGGCTAAACTGGAGGAAAAGGACCAAAAAGAGGACTCGGAAAGCAGCTCGGAGAGCAGTAAAGAGGACGAGCAGAGCGAGGAGAAAGAGACTGAGGATGACGCTGAGGCTCCAAGCTTCATAATGGGGAAGAAATAAAACGGTTAAGTCGCGTGAAAAAACAGGGCTAGTTTCTGTTTTTAAAGCTATTTGTTTGGAGCACGCGCTGATTTCCTACAGACGTACAGAGGAGTAAGATTGGGCATTTTGCTTCGTGTGAAAAATCTTTTGCTTTTACTCTGAGGACCTTTAAAAAAAAGTGGAGACAAAATAACTAAAAGACTTTTTTATATTGTCATACACTGCTGAGTCCATGACACCTGTATTTCACGTCCAGTTTGGAAAGAGACTTTCTACAAGGGGGGAAAAACATTGACAAGTTTTCTTTTTTTTTTAATTTACTTGAATTGTTTGAAATGTTGGCTACACAATTAACCAATATATATTAAGAATATAATAAAATTGACAATTTTATTCAAGGCGTCTTCTTGAAATGGATTCTTGATGCTAAATTTGTTTTTTTCTTTTTCCAGCGTTCTACATTAGGAGAGTGTCCTGTGTTGATTTTTGTGTCCTTTGCAGCCTTGCCGAGTTGCCCCTGGTGAAGCCCGTCACACGTGGGTACGACAAGGCTGCAGAAAGCATCCCAAAGAATGAAAAGGCGTGACTTCTGGAGACTCAGGAGTTTCACGTGCGATGTTCTTTGAACAGACACCCCCCCTGCCTTCCACGGTGGTGACGGTCTGGCCCTGTGGCCATCACCTTTCTTGGGGCAGGAAGAGCAAAAAAACTTGGCAGCCAGGTATTGTTTGGAACAGGGTGAGCTTTTCCTGCCAGACACTGTTAGCTGTCACATTCCTTCCACAGGTTTTTATATATTCTCTCCTGGTCATTACACCTTCGATTCAGTGAATAAAACCAAATTAAAGTATTAAGTTTTTATCTTAAGTGTTCTCTTGTCCAGTTTTATTTACTCACTCTCAGCTCTTTGTATGCACATGTAAGCTCTGTCAAAGATCTCCCATTGCAGGGTGAGGAAAATAAAAAAAAAACTGAGAACTTTTAAAATTTCCTAAATATTTGTATTGAACCCAAGTTTTTACAAACGGATTAGATTAATAAAAATGACTTGCACATATTGATGCCTTTGATATTTGGGAAAATTAGAAGACAATTTTGGATTTGATCAAAATTTGATCATACTTTTGAAGTTCATATTACATGAGTTAACCATCATGTAGTCAGCATTTTCAGACTGCCCTCCTTTTTTTTTTTTTTTTTTTAAAAAACAATTGTTCTCACACAGTGAACAGTATTGTGGACTCCGACATTTTTAAACTAAGATCAGTCATCTGAAGTCTAGAAAGTCCTGAAATAATGTAGTGGTATTGGATACACAGCACAAAGCATAGATTTACAAAACGTTTTATGTCTCGAAGATCAGCAGCCAAGACAAAAGCTCTTCATAACTGAAAATAGAAGGGAGTGAATTGGAGAATCAAAGTTGCAGTTTTTTTTTCTGCAGATATGTTTCTTTAGTGCTACTTTCTTTTCAGTTTGATGAATACATTTGGGACAATCTAACTGTGAATAGCTTGTGGAATAGTTTTAATTTGGGGATAATTGAAAATATTGGACAAGAAAACCAGATCAAACGTCACGTTTTCATGTGACATTCCTGAATACCACGAGTCAAATTTGAGGACGGGCGAATATGATTTTCTGAGCGTACCTACGAAGTGTGGACAACCATAAACAGGCAGAAAGTGGAGTATGAAACCACACCCTTTACCAGAACACACAGAGAATTCTCATGGTATGTTATTTTTTTGCTCTTACTGTTTTTAATCTTTGAGTTTGTCTTGTGTGGAGGTGATAATTGTGTTTTATGATTCGCTCAAATGGCCTGTACAGCGCTTTGATTTTAGCTTTGGCTGACTGAAAGCGCTTTATAAATAAAGTTGAGTTGAGAGTTGAGTTTCCTATTCCAGAAAAAGTGGCCAGAGTTCAGACAAAAGGGGGTCCGCCCACTACGCAACAAATCTCCAGCTCCACGCGTGCAAACAGTTTAAGTCCAGACTTTGAGTCATTCTTGGCTAACATCTTTCCAAATGTGACCCAAAGATCACTTATCATTTGGTCTTAATTTAACCCTTTAAAGCCTGATCCAAGAATTAAACGAAACAGAAAATGACTTTTTTTTGGTTTGAAGTCTTTATTTGGCCTTTTAACAAAATATTTTAAAAGAAAAAACAGAAATACATTTTTAATATTAATAATTTATTACTCTGCGATAAATCAAGATTATTTTTTGTGTAGTCTTCTGCCCCCTGTTATCAGGTATATCTAATTGTGTAAATTAGGATTTTGAGCAAAGTTTTTTCCATTAAATTATGCAAAAGGTGTCAGACGCAAAACATTTCAGAAACCGTATGTATCAAATATGATACATTTGGCATTACAGGGTTAAAATCTGAAAATATTGGAACTTAATCTCCTCTGTTACTCTCTGGATGTGTTCAGACAAAAAGTAGGGGGGGGGGAAATGTGACAAGAGAGTTCACAACTTGTCAAGTTTTTCCATTTTATCACTCTATGATACATGCACATTCTTTTACCTCCACAGGCAGGATTTTATGATGTGGAGCTTGTCAATAGGTGTAAAACTGACTTTTCCTATGGGGAGTGGCGCTGACATCTTAAAGGGAGGTCTCAGCATGTTTGGGCAAGACGTGCAGCCTCTGTGCCTCGCCTTAATCCTTTTTCTGTTAAAACACCTCAGAGCAGCTCTGACGGAGGATATTTTGAATTGTGCTCACGTTTGAACCCTGCCATGAACCGTTACAGTGAATGAGAATGCAGGCCGACGTTGATTCACAGAGAAAACCAGTTGGAGTGAACAGCAATCACAACGGGCAGCCTCAAGGTAAAGTCTTATTCTGGTCTGCTATGCCGATCCATAGATGTTAAAACTCCAGTGTATCCAGCTTACATTTTAGGAGTAATCTCTATAGGAAAATAGATTTGTTTATGTTAATTTTTTTCTGATTTCTGAAAAGTTTGCCTCCAGGCAGATATGTCTGGCTTTGTGACATCAGATTGCTCAATCTTGACTCTCTTCATTGGTTGAAAATATTTTTTTCTGCAGCACTGTTCACTGAGGTTGCTGTGTAAAGCACAGGGATAAAAAAAGTGAATGAATAGGATAATTTTCCAATGCCAAATTAAAACATTTTGCAAACATTTTCCCTAGATGACGTAAAAGCAGTGCAGAAGAGAACTTTCACCCGGTGGATGAATGTGTTTCTGCAGAAGGTAAAGGAAGAGCCAGCCCACATTTACCGCAGACATTTCTCAGATATATAGAACTGACCAGTAAGGGCATTTTCTCTCATTCCCAGCTCGATCCACCCCTCGAAGTCCATGACTTGTTCACTGATATTCAGGACGGCAAAATACTCATGGCCCTTCTGGAGGAGCTGTCTGGTTGCAAACTAGTAAGGGTAAATTTTATAACACCAAGAGGATAGAATAGAATATATTATAGTTATATCAGTTTCTCTATTTTCATCTCGGTGTGGTTTGAGATTATTTTCATTTTAAAGGCAGTTGAAGCCACAACTTGAGGGCGGTTTCATGCAAATCCCCCTATTAGCAACAATTTATGGGAGTTTAGTTTGGCTTAGCCGGGCTCAGTTCAGCACAGACTGAAAGCAAACAGAAACAGCTTGTCCCTGTTCAAAGCTAGCACAAGACATCTACAAACATCTTTAGAGTTTGAGCAATATAACAAGGGGCCATCCCAAAACTAGCAAGCTGTTTACTAAAAGTTGCATGTTCATGCATCTAGCTTTTTTAATATTATTTTTAGCATAACATAGTGAATGCCTTACATTGTTGAACTATTCCAATAATCTGCCCGAAATATTCTTCTTCTTTTTTTTTTTAGCTTTATAGATTTAGGTCTGCTTCTAATCGTATTTTCAGACTCAACAACATTTCCAAGGCGCTGACTTTCTTAGACGACAGGCATGTAAGTGTTTGTTGTCTAAAACTTTGCAACCACTTTTGAACTAAGCGTGCTCTCACGAACAATAACGGCCTCTCACAGGTGAAACTGCTTGGCGTCGATGCTTCTGGTATTGCAGACGGCATCCCCTCTGTTATCCTCAACCTAATCTGGAGCATTATCCTGCATTTCCAGGTCTACTTTTCCCCTCATTATCCATCAGTATATTCTGGTAATATGTTAACCACCTTACTGAGTCAGCCTTTGTATTCAATTTTACTGTAATCCAGGTAAAGGAGAAGACGGGAGGCCTGAAGAGGAGCCTGTCTTCAAGCCTCTCTTCGTTATCTCAGAGCGGTTACCCAGACGCCGGTGACCTCTCACCCCTGCCAAACGACGCCTTCAACACTCTGCCAAGGAAAGCTAGTAAGACTGCCAGGGAAGCAAAGCTCCACGGTAAAGCAATCAAGACCCTCTTGCAGTGGGTTCAAAGACGCACAGCGAAGTGAGTCTGAGAAAAAGAAAGTTCCTTTGCCAAGTCATTTAGTTGCCCGGCAACAAGATGTGTCGAGGGTGTGTTAAGCATGAAAGGCTTGATGTGAAATCTTACATTTCTAGGCATGGGGTGGATGTGCGTGACTTCGGGAAGAGCTGGAGGAGCGGGCTGGCGTTCCTCGCTCTGATTAAGTCAATAGACCCAGACTTGGTTGATCTGAGGGACAGCTTGTCCAAACAACCAAAAGAAAACATCCGACAGGCGTTCGGAATAGCCCACCGGAGTCTGTGTGTGCCCCCTGTGCTGGAGTACGAAGGTAAACTCTGCTGAATACCAGTGCATAATTCAATTTGAATGCACCAACAAAGACAACATTTCCTGTGAGATACAACGTACGCAGTCAAAAAGACACACCAGTTTGGTGAATCCACCTTTTTCAGAGCTATAAAATTAATTTAAAAACACACCGACATATTCAATGGGGGTTCAAAATGTCTGAGCTCAATTCAAGAGACAACTGTAGCACAGTTTGTCTACTGTTTTCTATCACATAATAGCTCAAAATGATGATCCAAAACAAGTGTAAACACCCAATTGTTTGTGTGTTTGTTTGATTGTTTGTCTTTGACACAGACGTGACATGCAGCTCACCAGATGAGCCATCCATCATAACCTACGTGTCAATGTTCCTGGGGCATCATTCACACAGACATGAGGTTTGTGCAAAGTATGCAGGGTATTTTTTCTCTTGCGGAATGCTTTGTCAGCAAATGGATTCCACTTTTTCATTAATTTGAAATGCTATCCGTAGCTGTTTTAGCCTAGCTTTTTTGAAAATGGGGAAATGAGTGAGACCCTGTCTAGATTTATGAAAAGGTTCTCTAATTAAAAAACGCTAGAATTAAGTGCTTCAATGGCTAAAACATTCAAGTCAGAAAAAATGATCTTTCAAAAATGTGACTGAAACTGGTATGGTTTAATTATAAATGTTTATGGTAAAGAAAAAGCAAATGTGTGGTCTTACCTAATGTAAATTGGGTTCTGTTGCTTCACCATGGAAGATTTTGCTAGGACAGGTAAACAGGTAAAATTAGCATCTTATCATACTGAGTGAAAGGTTCTGTTGATAAACCTGATATTTATTGATAATCCCATCAGTAATTGTAGACGCTGTTGGGATTGATTGTCCATAAATCCAACATTAAACCAACAAAAACAGGAAATCTCTCATGGTGGAATAATCTTTTATTTGCTTAGTAAAGTTACGTGACCTGGATATTTCCACAACAAAAAAAAGAGGGAAAAAAAGGAAAAAAGAAGAGCTGTTAAATTTCCCTCAGTGAGAAATAGCCTTTGTGTGTGTGTGTTTTTTGTTTCATGGTTATCTATCTCTTCAGTTTGGTGGATACATTCGGTGCAACTGTCATTTTGAATAAGAATTATAATAATTATACATCTTATTTATAAAGCATGTTACATTATAAACATTTCAAAGTGCTAAAATCAGTAAAGTAATTAAAAACAGTAGGAATCAAGAACGAAGAACTATGATTAGTTTTTGAATAGTTTTACTTTGTGATAATTGCAAAATTTGAACAAGAAATCCAGAGCAAAGGGCACGTTGTTATGTGCTAAATTTAAACAAAAACCCCAGTGAGATTTCAAATGTGCGGGCCATATACGTGCAAGAAGATAAATATGAAGCAACATCTTTTACCAAACACACAATGCAGCGTCATGTCATGCCTCTTACTCCTGTAAAAATATCAAGAAACCAGTCAAAAAAGTGGATGACATAATTCCACAAATCTCCAGCATCAGATGTCCAAACAGCTGAAATCTGTACTTTGAGTCAATCTTAGCTAACAGCTTTTCAAATTATTTGTAAAAGTAATTTGTGGCTTTAAAATATTAGAATATTTCAAATTTAAACTCCTTCTGCTAATTCCATTGTCCCATTCCCATTTTAGCTGACCCTAATTAATCTTTAGTGTGTATCTTTTTATAATGACAATTGATGCATATGGGAAATCTCTTTGGGATTAATTCACTGTAATATTTATTATTTCTATTAAATTCACTTAGGTCAATGTGTTTCAGGAGCTCATGAGAAGCTTTTACTATGGATCCAGAACCTGTGAGGAGCTAAAATAAACACTCACAATGTAATCTGTTGGGAGTTTCTTTAAAGAAAAAGAAAAAGAAAAAGATAAAGTAAATCGATGCTATATGTAGAAATCTAAAATGCACAATTGAACCCTTCACTACCTAAGCCTTAAGCCCCACCAAAATATAAAAAGAATGCTCATCTAACATGCTGGATAAGCCACAATAGTTTTTGATACAAACAAAAAACATCCGCCTCTTTCACAGACAGTTCCGAGTAAATTCTCTTTGCTGCCTCATTTATATTTGGGAGAAGCCTTATGTCAGGGACACAGTGTCAGACTGTCAGGTGCAGCCGGCGAGATAATGTGAGCAATATCACGGAGCAACACATATATCTTGTCTGACCTGTCCAAACGCACAGTGTTTCTCATATACTGGAAGAGTGCGTTTTGATTTGCTTCCACTCTGGCAAAGCTTTGTTTGGAAGAGTCTGTCAAGTTTGTTTACTTTCAAGCTGTCATCAGCGAATATATGTCCATAAAAAAAAAGCCTACGCTCCTCTGTCCTCTGCATTTGAAATAGATTTTGATGAGGCAAAAGTTTGTGAATTCCATCTTGTACTTCTGATTCAGTATCATATATGTATGTGTATAATGTGTATAATAATCATGATGCATTATAGAAAGGAGAAAATATACAGATAGCAGATAGCATCAGTGTAGAACACTTTGGCAAAAAAAGAGACTTCATGCTATTCTTTGGACCGGCATCTTGTCCACCTCCCACTTAAAGACTGATGGGATAGGTTTTAGTCAACCCCAAACCCTATGACAAATTAACAATATAGACAATGAATGGATCATCGGGGCAATTTTAATCCAAACTGAGATGTTTCTTAAACCTAACCTAAATAATTATCCAGACCTCAAATAATATAAATATAAACCGTGCAACCTTTTTTTTGGAATTCCAAAGATGTTGGTTAAAAGTATTCTCAATATTTTATTATTCTCTACATAACTCTATAACTTTTTCTAATGTGACTTGTATTACAGAATTACACAAGAGATATTGAAGTTCCCGGAATTCCCAACTTTGGATCACACGACGTTGTCGCCTTTGGAGAAACCCTTGCTGATGATCCGGAAGCCAAAGCTCTGCTGAAAAGCTTTGAGAAGAGCAGTGAACAGTTGCTGTGGAGACGATGGTCCAGGAGATCTTCAGTGGCCTCCTGTGCTTCGTACTCCAACGCAAACACAACCTCATATAATCAAAGAGTGTTAGAGCCCCCCAGTCCACTAGATGCACTTATAGTTGGGCAGGAGATCAGGTCATGGATGGAGAAGGGCCTGGAAAAGAGTTATGGCAAGCAACGGAGAGATGAAAGTCATCTTTCCATTAGTTCTGTGGAGGGAATCCACAGTTTTTCAGCCTTGGACTCAGACGAGGAGGATGCCTGTAGCTACATACTGGATCTGAATAAGGACGTTTGTCAACCACATAATCCGCCGAAGAGAGAGAATGTAAAAAGAGTTGAGGAGGAAATAGAAGAAGAAACAGAAGAAGAGTCGAAATATAGGGAGGCATGTGAGGTGTTTAATGGGAGTGGAGGTAAACATCAGCAAGGCTTCCTTTCAAAAGTCAAAACACATTCATGGGAACAAGAGTGTGACCAAACAGAAGAGGAAGTTGTGAATACAAAGATTGCGTTGAATAAGGGAGAAGAGAAAGAGCACAGGAAAAGAGGGGGATATTTGAGTGAGTCCAGAAGAATATATGAAGATGTGAGAAGATCAGAGGAAAAGCGGGACCTAAGGGAACGTAATAAGAGTGATGGAGTCTGTGTAAAGACCAGAGAGACGAGAAGTCTGAGAAGTCATCATCTAGAAAGCTTCAAAGTCGAAATCATTGACAAATTATTCACTGATGAATTTAGAAGACCGGATGCAGTCCGAATAAAAATGGACATCAGTTATATTTGTACAAATGAAGCGGAGAGAAGTGACCGTGTGAAGATTTCAGCTGATTTTGGACCTCTTAAATCAGCAGAATTGGAGCACAACCAACGGGGAAAGGATGCATCCCAAGATGCAATCGCTACAGCCAATATCAATAAAACCGCAACACAATATCACATTGATGACATCCACAAATGGGAAGATATCCGGATGCCTGCCTGTAGTCCAACTTCGCAGTCGTTCAGGTTAGTGATAATTCCCAATAATTGCATTGACCACAAGTGGGAATTTGTATCTGGTTTGTACCTAGTTTCCACTAAATGTGTCAAACTTATTTGTGTTATATGAACTTATATGAATATTGAAAATAGCAGTTTGTGATTTGGCTATTTTTTCTTTTATGGGTTCAATATGACAAGATGCTAAAGCACTGTGACTACAACAAATAAGCCAGTAAAAACAGATTGCTATAAATGGTTAGCATTAAGTTGGTAGTGCTTTTTAGCCATAAAACAGCAGTGAAATATTGTGACAGTGAAATACTATTACATTAAAATTATGTTCTATATAATAATGTTGTACAATGTATGTGGTTGTAATTTCAGAAATATTTCTGCTAGGCCAACAACCTGTGGCTGTAATGTCTGTATACATTTAGAGATAATGAAAATAATGTTCAGATTATTCAAATATTGGGTGTCACTTTAAAAATAAGGCAGTTAATGATTTGCTATGTAATTTAGAATTGGTTATTTTTTTCATAGATGATATGAAAAGATACACATATATACATATAAATGTGTTTGTGTATATGAATATACACACATACAGACCATTTGTTTAGGTTTAATTTGTGAATATAGCTGCGTTTAACTGCTATGTTATTCTTTCAACAGAGACGGAAGCCTTCTTCCTCAATCCTTAGCAGCCTCCTGTGATTTAACTGCTTTCGAGCTGGAATTGCTGCTGCTCCTGTGGATCCTGCTCTACTGCTACTTCCTCCTGCCTCAGATAGACCTCTGAGTCCTTTTGCACTGCTCTCCCACATAGAGATATGCTCATTAATCCCGTTTACCAGTAATGAGCCAAACTGGGGCACATAGGCGCATTTTTATTTCATTTTATCTCTGTCACTAAATTTCCCCTCAAGGCCACATTTAATGATTATGTTTGCTACTTGCTGCCAGCATATGTGATTTATAATAACTCTAGCAACTGCTTCAGATAAACCAATAACAAGTAATCCCCATAATTACATAGATTTCCAGCATTATCGGGCACGGTTGGTGAGCTGTTGTTGCAGAATAAATGTCCTAAACGCTCTGTTGATGTGACTGATTTTTTCTGGCAGTTAGTCCTCTCTAAGAATGCTTGACGTGACCAACCACATGGTGGCAATGCAGATTCGCAGGAGCAACCCTGACAACATGACAGACTACCCACACAGCATTCTGTGGCCTGCTGAGAATCCCACATGACCCGCTGTTTAATTAGAGGCTGTATTAACATGCTGAGATTAAGCAGATAATATTTAATGAGAACTTTGACATTTGACAGACTCTCGCTGTGCCACTTGTGGCTTAGCGTGCAGACTGTTTCCCAGTTTTTATCTCAGATGTAATACTCTATTTAAAGCTGATTGTTTTTTTTTGTTTTTTTTAAGTGAACTACTTTATAGTTTGAAATTAACCTCAAAATAAAGGCATGATGTATGAAATATAAATGTTTCACAATATATAATCTGGATTTTAAATAAACACATTAAGCTCACGCATAGATTGTGATGTATAGCAAACCAATAGTGGGCATTAGTTGCATAAGTGTTCTAAATCCGTGTTGAATTTGTATAAAAGGTGGAAGGGGGAGACTACTGTGCCTTGTCCTCCCTGTCCAAATGATACACATTAACTGCTGGCGTATTTCTAAGAAACTAAAAACAGGCTGCCATCGTTTGCTTAGAGCTGAACCCATGGGTCAGCAGCTCAGACTCAAAGATCAATATCCTTTCAACACCGCCGCCACCCCCGCACCAAACTATGAGAACAACACATCCCCAAAGCCGGAGTTTGGTCGATCATCTGTGCAATCCAGCCAGGACGGAGAGAGAAGAAGCGATGGCGTCTGTTATGTATAGTTTAGCCTGTCTTACAGGGCTAGCTTCGTTACTTTGTTCCTCAGCACATATAGCGTTAGCAAAGCCTGAGGAGCTCCTCAGCAGGCCTGAGCGATGGGAAAGAGGGGCCAGTCATGAGAATCGACTGAACATGTCAGCCTTAAATACAGCCTTGGCCTTTGAACCCTACCGTGACCTCGCCACTAGAAGCACCGCCAAGCCTTCTGTCCAGCAGCGGCGGCCCAACAACATCTTGTTCTCGCCTTTGGGACTGGGGTCAGCTCTGGCTCTGCTCTGCCGAGTGTCCGGGCCCGAGGGTCGGACCCAGGCCCTGGAGGCCCTGGGGGTGCCGGCCAACTCCACAGAGCAGAGAGCCGAGGCCACCATATCCGCTCTAACAGATCTACAACACAGCCTCGCTCTCCAGGAGGGAGGGGGCGGAGGTGGGGTTCAGAGAGGAGCATCCGAAGCTGGGGCAAACACTGGGATTGGCGGTGCCGCGACAGGGGTGGGAAACAGACACAACGAGACCAGAAACAGAACTGATGTAGATGGGGATGGAAGACAAAGTGAGGATGGTGTTCACACGGCCCAGTTAAGGGTGTGGACCAGCCTCCATGTGGATGGAAAACCCTCAGTAGACTATGAAACCTTTAAGTCCAGGCCTCTGAATACCGGACCGCCTGCCTCAAACATCAACCATGAGACACTGATGAAAGACTTGCAAGCCTCGGACAAACTTATGCTCAACAATTTTGTGTATTTCAAAGGTAGTTATTTGTTGTATGCGTTATCTTAGTTTCAGTGTAAGGGTATTCATAATTCAGACCGCGACTAGCGTTGATGTACATTGTTTGTATCATCAAACATAAAGATCAAGCTTCAGTGGCAATGAAATTAAGATTATGAGATGTTTACACTGTTATCATTTGCTCGTAGTAGTTTTAGAACAACCTCACCGCATGGAACATCAGATATCTGTTTTCCATTTGTTTTTATTTTCGTTTGGAGAAAGAAATCCATACTGGAAATGTTTTTTGCCGGTGGATGCTTTTGTCAGACCTATTCTATCTCACCCTCATCGTTCATAACATGCTCTGTAAATATATACCTCAGGTCTTCTGCCGTTTGAGTGGCGCCCCACCGGTCAGCGGAGCTTCAAGCCGAACGCCACGACCTCCGCTGAGATCGCCATGATGTACAGGGCCGACTCGTCCGAGGTGATGATGCTGTACGACACCAACTGCTCGGCCACGGTGGTGCGCGTGGCCTTCTCGGAGCGGCTGGCCTCCCTCCTCCTGCTCCCCAAAGGCGAGCTCCAGCCTCTGGAGGACTGCCTGTCCGACAGCCGCATGAGCTTTTGGGTCAGCAACCTGAAGCCAGGGTAAGTGGGGCATCCAAGTGGCTGACCAAGAATGAAATGCGACCATCTTGCACTCTGTCATGTTTCTCTAGACTACATGAATGGAATTTAGAGTTTACCCTGTAAGTTAATTCAATTCAATTCAATTCAATTTTATTTATATAGCGCCACATCACAACAACAGTTGTCTCACAGCGCTTTCCAAACAGAGCAGGTCAGACCCTACTCTGAAGTTAATTACAGAAACCCAACAATTCCCACCATGAGCAAGCACTAGGCGACACAGGCAAGGAAAAACTTCCTTTTAACAGGCAGAAACCTCGAGCAGAACCATAGCTCAGGGTGGGCGGCCATCTGCCTCGGCCGGTTGGGGGTGAGGGAAAGAGAGGGCAAGTTACAGGAAGTTGGAACTGAGAGTCTTTTTTTATTTCTTAGGCGATTGACTGAAGTAAACATTCTTTTAAATCTTTTAACAGCCCTTTAAAAAAGTAATCTTGCTGCTAAAAACTACATGAATCTGTGTGATGAACTAAAAGTATTCAAAGTTCACAAACACAAGGAATTTAAGGAATCGTTGACATAAAAATGATTCTCTATTGTGATATTGAATATAATCATGATTACATTGTTGTGACATAATTATGTTACAGTGTGGTCTCTTTGTTCTGGATTGTGCTCAGAACATTTGAGAAATAAATCAGAGATTGCTGACGTGAGATAATTATTTATATTTTACAAAAATTTCTTCTCAAAAGCCCTTCAAAGATTCAGTCCAATTTGAACCAAATTGAAATCGAAAACAATCTTGATGGTGTGATAGACACTAAAGCAATTCCTTTCACTTATGTTGATTTTGTTTCTGTGAACAGTTGTCTATAAATAATGACTTCTTTTTCTAAATTTTCAGACGTAAACCTGCCATATAGGCTGCATGATTTAAAACAATACTTGTTAGAACAAATTCATTGACATGACTATTGCGTTTTGCAGGCGTGCAGAAATCCTTTTTCCTAAGTTTCAACTAAGGGAATCCTACAGTTTAGAAAGTCTCCTTCAGACTGCTGGCGTAACAACTATTTTCTCACAGTCAGCCAACTTTCCTGGGTTAACACAGAAGAAAATGCTGAAACTCATTAAGGTAAAGAAATAACCTTACGTCCTATTGTTCTTAATAAAGAGAAAATAAAAATCAAGCTTTCCCTTCTGCAAATATTAATGTTTAAGGATCATAATCCGTATAAAAAGGGCACACTTTGTCTAAAAGATCACTTTGTTCAAATGTATTCTCTTTGGACCTTCTACATATGTTCTCTCATTGGTTCTGTTTCTGTGTTGTTACCCTCAGGCTCCTCATGAGGTTATGATGGAGGTAGAGGAGTCCAAGTCAGGAGAAAGGAGTAGACCGGATATCCAGCTGGACTTCTCTGTCCCCCAAAGAATAACCTTCGATAGACCATTCATGTTCATAATTTATGATACTCTCACAGGGCTCGTGGTGCTCATCGGGAGAATTATTGATCCTACAGAGGTGTAGAAAACGTACACTTTTCCTCTCTTCACCTTTTGAGTCAATATAACTTTGTATCCGCAGACAGAAAAGGAAACTTTTAGTTAGACTTTGTTCCAATAGTAGAACACAATGATTCATAGCTTATGTATTCATCTCTGTCTGCATTTCTTACAAAAACATAAAACATTTTTCTTCCATTACGAAACTTTACTGTTTTTTTCCCCCTCAATTTAAAACCCATTTCCTCCTCCGGTGGTCTTTATGGTCTTTTGCAATTATTGGAAATTTGCTTTGCAAGAGTATCTTGGCTTATTTGGCACAGAAAAGCATAAATAAATGAATGGAGAGGCAGAGAGATTTGATTATTTACCTCAGTCAGCTTGCCTTATTGAGACATCACAAAAATAGTTTGAGGAGATGATGAATAGAGGATAGTTTGATTAAAATAACGGTGGATCTTTCTCAAACAGAAATGTCATCCTATTAATCAAGAAGTCTTGTTAGCCATGTAAGAAATCTGACATGTGAAGTAAAAGAAGAAATATATATGTGCAGAGATGAGAGACCACGAAAAGCTTCAGTACCTCCTCAAGCTTCTTTGATAATTCTTTATGCAGCCGCTTAGTATTTTTTTTAAATCATGAAAATGACTAGGAGCAACATTATGAGCCACCTGAACAAAATGCAATTCAGATGTCTGATTGAAGTTTGCTTGCCCTGTAGCCTTTAACCTATTTTCATGGAAACATCAATAGACCGTTTTCGGGTAAATACAAGTATTCTTTTTGACAGTAATTAAAGAAAACATATGACACCTTCTTTACCACAAGATGACATCATTTATCGAGGTCTTACTTAAAGGTCTGCTGCATTATTTGGGCTAAACAGCGGAATGATGTATTACAGAATATACCTTTTAAACAAATAATTTACAGCTCATCTTACAGCAACTGGTTTTGGGGTGTAAGGTAAGTAATTTGACTTAAGCACATGCCTGTCTTCTGTTGAATGTTGACCCAAAATACACTCAATAACCCGTTCTTACCTACACTAAAGCATACAGTACATTTCCTCATCAGGGAGCTTACTGCAGGTCACTCAACAAACCCAGCTCAAAGTAGCACTCATCAAACTGATGGGAAAGCCAATAATTTGCTATTTAAGTTTTAAGCATATCTTATCTGAGTCATCAGGCCCATTTAAGGGAGAGTTCAGTCACCATAAAAATATCTTAAGTCCCTCCAGTAAATCCCATATTTGTAGGAATTTTTTATCTGTCTGTGCTGTCTGTGGCTGAAATAGACACGTACATTTTCAAAGAATAAAGTAAGTTCCTACTGGTACCAGTAGTAGGTAAATCCAGCTGATTAACAACAAAGTAAATTACTGATTAAATAGGTGATATCTTTGTTTACAGATCAAAGGCTTGCCTTGTAAATTTGCATTGAACATAGAGTTTCTGTTCATACGGTAGGAAATGCACAAACCAAGTCTTTCTCGTTCCCTATTATTATACATTTTTGTAAACAGAAATTCTATTGTCATTTTGCTTTGATAAATAAGTTATATGAGAAAATAAACTTATCTTCTAATTATAAACTAATTATATTTGATTCACCTTATTGAGCAGTAATTCATTTAATTGTGGCTATTCCCCCAAATGGGTAACATTTTCTTCCAAGATTTCTATTGTGGTTTTGCATTTTTGTGTGATTAGATATATCATCTATGATGATATATCTATATGATACACACTTTTATTTCCAAAGTAATTTATAGCATTTTTGTTAAAGTGCACATTTTTTTTGTCTCTGAACTCATCACGGTTGGCTTCAAGTAAGAAGACCTAAATTCAGTTTGTCTATTTTTGTTACATTATATTTGACAATGTTATATCTAAAATTGAGACGGTCAATCTCAACATATTGTTGAGTCTCTTCTTATTCTAATAGTTTTGGAAAATCAATAAAATGTTCAGTGTAGCAAGCATGCCATGTGGGTGTATTGTTAATTTATCCTAAAAACGTAGTCTTGTTTCTTCAGCTCTATTACTGACTTGACTCTATTACTGACTACTGAAGAGTAACAGGACTAAAAGTCACAGGAGTCCAACGATAAGATGATTTCTTGGTATATAATTTATTAGTCAACTGATTTTGAAGTTTTCTAGGTGAACGTATTTAAGTTGATATTTGTGATCACACTCCAATTGCCTACACAGAGCCAAAAATCCACACACATATTAACTCCCAGGAGAAGTTACAGAGCCAGTGTTAAAAAAAAAAATCACATTTCATTTGGGAGAGTTACAACAAAAATGAAGAGTTATGATAAGCAAGTTCTTGGTGGAATCTGTTTCCCAGTGCAAAATTCTCCTCTTATCTCTAAGCATTATGTTAAGTGGGGATTCTAAACAGATCAAGAAGTGACTGCGAAAATAGATGTATGGGTTAAAAAGAGGGATTAGTTATTAGTGGCTGGTCCAATTGAACATTTAGCATATGTGTGCCTATATTTCTGCAGGGCATGGGTTTACAAGTCCATGTTGTACAGAATCTCTCACCCAAGGACAGCTTGGATAGACTTGGATAGACTTTCAGGCTCCCTTCCTGAGCCTGAATAAGTCAGTATAGAAAATAGAAGAATGGCTGGAGTATTGACCTACTTTTCAAGCCCCCTCAGAGACTTTTTGCAAAGCATCAACTAGCAACAGACAGAGTGACTTTTAAACAAAATATGGGAAAAGTTCTTCCCATATTAAGGAGTGTGAGCAGCTTGCACACATGCAGTGTTTTACGGTTGGTGCCTTTGAATGTCGGGGACCATGTGAGAACGTGTTCAGGACTGTCATTGTCAATTTAAGTAATATCTCAAGAGAGCAGGGACCACGGCTGTGATTTTTTTCATGTCATGACATTATGTTTATGGATATAGAAATGTGCAACAGACTTGAAATACTTTAAACTGACAACAGATTGAGAGACACTCTTCAGGTGATGCTTCTCATTTAAAATCTCAGAGGCATTTTGCTGTCTCACATCAAATATCTAAATAATAATGATAATATAAATGAGGATTTCTGTTGTGTGCACAGATTAGGAGGGATGCAAACTAATGTAATGTGTAACAGGTACAAAGAACAATATAAATGCTTACTGTTATGAATCTTTTCTTTTCTTCCCCCCCTTCATTCTCTGTCTAACAGAATCCTCAGTCTCTCATTTGTATCTTCTTTTCGAACTGTTTAAATAGGAGTTTATTCCATTTTGTTATACCCTTGTGCTTCAATTAGGCTTCAGCATTAATTTAAAAGTATTTTGATCACAGTCGAGAATGACTTCTGGTGCTATGAGTGAATCCGTACCCAGTCCCAATACAGGTGATAAATGTCAGACTCCCAACAATTATTCATGACCCTTGTCATTTCAGCTCCAAGTGTGACTGAAAGGTGTAAAGTTTTCCTTACTCAGTGAATTGGGATCTATGAATATGCTGATCTGGCACCAACCATGTCTCTGACTGCCAGAAGTGGCTGGCTCTGGCACGGTAGATCCAAGTCTCTTTTTCCCGGTAACAACCTGCATAGCTTCACTTTAAACCTTGGCTGCCTCCCTTAATTTCATTGATTCTTCCCTGCACAGGCCAAATCCCGGTACAGCCAGACCACGCTTACAGTCAGGATAGGTTTCTCTGATATTCTATGGAACACACAAACTGAGAGACCTCACTATTCTTTTTCGGCCGTGTACAGAAAAACAAAAACAGAAAACCCTATGTGCATGATTATAAGGTAAAGGGGGACTTTAACCCTTTATCACCTACACTTAGAAAAAAAACAGGAACACCAAAAGATCTGCTCTCTACCTGTAGCAGACTAGGATTTTTTAAATTTGGCTAAATACCAAGTGCAAGTTTTCGTCAACGTGCTTTTATATTGACATCGGAGTCGTCAATTGTACAGGTCGGTTCCTGCATGTTGACCAGCACATTGAAAGTCTAGTGATTTCTGATCGATTCCTTGAAACTGGCCCTAAATTTGTGAAAGTGATTCTCCATGCTTAAAATCATAGCATATATACTTTGTAATTAAAATATTTTTGAGTAGTGAATTTTCCATTGCTGTTTTTTTTCTTGTTTTTTTCCTTTTTTTCTGCTGAGTGAGTTGTGTTGCATCAGTGCAGATAGAACTGCCAGATATGTTATTGCGCAGGACAGGACAGGGGCCTGGTCTGGGTTAATTTTTGACCAAAATGTCAGCTGTTTCTCCGGGCTCCTGTATAAAAGTGGGGAGACCACGCTCAGCCTTTCGGCAGCAAAGAGGACAGTAAAGGTAAGCACAAATTTCTACAGAAACATGTCTGCGTAACCTTTTGAAATTTACATTGGAAAAACTGGATTTGGAGGTGAGGCTCTGGAGATATAGTGATAATTCTGAGAATGAATGATGTGGTATGAGTAGACGATCTTTATTTTGGAAAGCGAGCATCCATCTTAATCGGGATTTTGTTGTTTGCTGCTAATTAAAATATATGACCTGCTCAAACTTAGGCTAGCTACCTTGTATTTCACCGCACAGGCTCTGAAGATGCGCAGTATCTTTGCTAGTTGCGCTCTGGCAGCCATCCTGGCTGTGGCTTTGGCAGATCACCACCACCATGAGGGGGAGATGTCCTGCCACAAGCTCATCCATCCAAACGCCGACTTTGCCTTCGCCCTCTACAAAAACCTGAATGCCAAGGCTGCTGCTGGAAAGAACATCTTCTACTCACCGCTTGGCATCTCCACGGCTCTGTCCATGCTGTCTGTTGGGGCCCGTGGCGAAACCCACGGCCAGCTTTTTAACAGCCTGGGCTACAGCAGCTTGAGCAAGACACAGGTCAATGAGGCCTATGAGCATCTCTTCCACATGCTTGGTCACAGCCAGGAGAAACAGCAGCTGGATGTTGGCAACATTGTGGCCGTGCGCACCGGTTTTAATCCCCTGGAAGAGTTCCTGAAAGACACTCAGAAATACTACTCCGGTGAGATCAAGAGCGTCGACTTTGCTGAACCCAGCAAGGCCGCGGCTGACCTCAACAGCCTCATTGCAAGTAAAACCCAAGATAAGATCAAGGATCTGGTGAAGGATCTGGACCCCGCAATGGCAATGGTGCTGCTCAACTATGTCTATTTTAGAGGTAGGACACAAACATTCTCGGGGAGGACGGACAGCTGTTCGATGAAATCAAAAATATACTGCATCCACACAAACACATTTATCTACCTTCCCTATTGTTTCACACAGGACAGTGGGAGAAACCCTTCGATGCCAACTTGACAACTAAGGGGGAATTCAACGTGGATGAGACCACCAAGGTTCAGGTGGACATGATGAAGAAGACGGGCCGTTTCGACTATTATTACGACGATGCCAACCACACCACCGTTGTCATGCTGCCATACAAGGGCAACACCTCCATGATGATTGTCCTGCCCCATGAAGGGAAGATGAAGGAAGTGGAAGGCTACATCAACAAAGGATACATCACACACTGGCACGAGTCACTCTTCAGGAAGTAAGAGGAATTCTGATATCTTGTGCGCCCTCAGACAGATAGTCGGAACCTGGGTCGTCATAGTTTGTTAGAAGCGCGGATAGAGAATTGCGACACGCTTTGAGTTTTTTAAATCATAGCCTAAGAGATCGGTGCAGCGCTTGCAAAAATAACCGATGTTTTTCTGCCCCTCAGTAATGTGAACCTCTTCATGCCGAAATTCTCGATCTCTGCCGATGCCTCTCTGGGAGACACTTTGAAAGAACTAGGAGTGACGGATGCTTTCGGAGACAATGCTGATTTCTCTGGCATGTCCGAGGAGATTAAGCTGAAAGTCGCAAAGGTAAGACCCGAGAGCAAGACTGCCTGTAGGGAAGGATACAAGGGTATCCCCGTTGCATGCGGAACTGGGAATCTTCTCTTCTCTCCTTGACAGGTATCCCACAAAGCTGTGCTGAGCGTGGACGAAACGGGGACGGAGGCCGCAGCCGGCACCAGCTTGGAAATCATGCCCATGAGCATGCCAGAAATTGTGACTCTCAACAGACCCTTCATGGTCTTCATTATGGAGCACTCGACAAAGAGCCTCCTCTTCATGGGCAAGATTACCGACCCCACTGCCTAAGAAGTCACACATTACGGTCACACTTTCAGGCAGGAGTTCATTTTGGTAACTTAAGGCAACATACCTCAACATCTGAAACAGCTTTTGAGGTGTAACCATGATATCAAGAGCACAGAATAAATGATAAATGACTGGATATGTGGGTTTTTTAAGGAACAGATACATCAGCAACTCTGAGATCACTACACATCTAATAACATGTCATATTGCATGATTTATACATATCTCAGTATGGCATTGTAGACTATATCCCAACTCTGAGTGATAGAATTTATGACTAAGACATATCTTGTTATTGTTCTGTTCATGTTTAACAGAGCTCAATGTTAAGTGAAATAAAGACTTGACTGAAAAAACAGTATTCATTTGTTATTTTTTCAATTTTGTAGATCTTGCATAATATGGTAATGATTAGTGTTTGTTATTGTAATCTATAGCTTATGTGTTTAGTTTAAAAGAACAACAATAAAGTTGGGACACTATTTGAAATGTAAATAGGACCAGAAAGCTGTGATTTGTAAAAATCTTATAACGCAGCCTTATAAAATGAAAGAGAAAATTTTGTAATTCTGGAGGGCAGAATGATGCATTTAAAGTGAACAACATCAGCAATATGTCTAGAAAGACATTCAAGGCTGAGATAAAAAAATATGTTTGTTAAAATGTAGAACATACATGTCAACAGTTTGTTTTAAAATACAGTAGTTTAAGGCTTTGTCTTTTTGAAGGATGAACATGGGGAGATTAACATGTAAAAAGATGTGAAAGACTTTAGAGAAAAGCCATTTAAGAAAAAGTTTAAAAAATCCACATTTTAAATGATTTAATAGAATATTATTGTATATCATTGGAGATCTTATTTACAGTACAAAACACAATTTACAAAACTAAATAAATCTCTACTAAGAACAAACCTGGACATTTAAAAACACCACTGGAAGCTGTTAACAGCTGTTATGTAGAGCTGATTAGGAATTTCTTATCTCTGAGAATAAGACTTAACAAGACCATGTTGTTTTTCCACCAAAAAAGCAAAGTACAAGCATTGTCTGCAAGACAGCCACTATCTGAAATAAGGCTCACACAAAGCGGGAAAAGCCCACTGAATTATTTTTAAACTTTATTCACAACATAAAATGCTACTTTCTTGAAAAAAACAAACTATAATTTACAACATACACTCCCAGTTTAAGGTTTGGACACACACTGTGTTTCAAAACTGAGCAACTAGATAAAGGCATCCGAAACAAGTTAACTGTACCGAATGGAAACAGGTATCAGGACAGGCTACAATTACTTAGTTTTTATTTGCAACTGGTCAATAATGTAATTGGGTATAAAGAGAGCACCTTCGAGAAGCAGAGCTAACGTCTGGAAGCTGTTTATTTATCTGCTATAATGCTCCAAGATGCTAAGAAAAAAAATCAAAACCTTTGAAATGTCATTAACATTCTGCTGACATTTCTGTGAGCAAGGGACAGAGCCAGAAATCAATACAGAAATGCCTGTGATCTTCATGTAAAAACAAAGAAATGAATCTGTCATGGGAAATTACTCAATGGGAACAAAAATGGCTCTAGGACTCATTATCTCTGAACACAAATCATAATTACATCTGCAAATGTAGAAAGAAGAAAGCATTTGTGAGGATGATGCAGAAATATTACAGTCTTCTTTGGGTCAAATAACACTTAAAGTGGCCTGAGGGGAAAGTGGAAATCTGTTCTGTGGTCAGACAAGTTGTAATACATTTAGAAAATTATGGGTACCTTATTGTCTAGACTAAAGAAGAGAGGGACCATCGGGCTTATTATCAGTACTTACTGCTCCAAAACATACCTGTTGATTTGGGGGATTTATCATTGTTTATGGAACTAGCTACTTATATACCAGGAAAGAAGTACTCAGTGCGAATGGTACGCTCACATAATAATGTAATTGAAATATTCTCACATTTTTTCCCCCACATTTTGTCACTACATTTATCATTAAAAGATGGCTTTTTGGTAAAAGAAAGCCTGAAAAGAGACCTGAATTGTAATGGCTGCCATCCAGACCCTTCACCAACGGAAAACATTTGATGCCTTGTGATAGATCAAATACAAGGATTGGGCTAAAGGATGGGCTGACATTATTCTTTTTCTTCCAGATTTGTCCAGGCTGTTGTTAAAAGAAGAAGGGGTGCTATGCAATGGTAAATGCTGGGATGCTATGGAGGTAAACTGACTGAGCAACGGCCTCGGAAGGGCCAACTTGGGGTCTCATCCTCAGCTGAATGTCTCCCCGTCACTCTCAATGTCAGCCAACTATGAATAAAGACAACAAGCTCCCAAGTCCTCCAGAATACAATTGTCTTTTGAAGCTGGGGTTTTATGTTGGGGATATCTGAAACGGAACATTTAAGAGGAATTCTTCTCCAGATGCAGATTGGTCAGGACGTCACAAATATAGTCATGGATGGATAAAACATAATTTCTTTTATATAAAGGAATTCATTTCATTTTTTTATATGTCATAGTTGACATCTGAAATGTCAATTTGCATCAGCTAAAACTGAGTTATAGAAGATTGCAAATAGTTTGCAAAAAGTGTCTAGTGGAGTACGTATCTGTGACAGAAAGCCAGTCAGCATTTGCTACAGTGCGCTACGAGGGAGGTTTTATTTTCATTGTAGTACACATGATCCCAATAGGATAGGACAATGAGTTTAGCGGTGGAAGTGATTAAAGACAAACAACTTCTCTAATTCAAATGAAATTGAACCAGTGTTCATCATTCATTTGGGGATGGAGACGTTTCTTATGTCCAAATGCATCAGGATTAACTGACATTTGTTCTCATCATACTGTATACGCGTATTTCCCCCTTACAACTTTTAAATCAGTATCTTAGTCAGGATTGCTATTACTGGCTGATATCAATGTTATTTACAAAGCCAATTAATTCTCTAAGTGGATAAAAGGTCACAGTATCGTTTTTCACAAGGGGGTTTGAAGAGGAAATCATTTAAAATGTCAGACTGGAATTAGATTCCTCATACTTTCATCAAAGCCACCCTGATGTTAGCTGTCTGATTTATTCAGGGAATTATGACATGACCTCTGCATGTTTGTGTCGTCATTTTTCGAGAATTGCTGTGACTCACTCACTGTTCTTTACTTTTCCTGAGCCTGTTGTATGGGCAAAGACTGGCTTGCGAGATAAGCAATTATGCCAGAATAGAAGAGGGGGTTGGTTCTTGTTAATCTTTAACAAAACTGCCAGTAAACTTGCTCCGACTTGCTTAACAAAATTATGGAGTGTCAAACCCATTGCACCAACGAGGACGTTAATGGTAAGCATCAGCCGTCACCACAATACGACTCTTTCTTTTTGTTTGTTGAAGGGTTAACTTTTAGGAGAAGAGTGAAAAGTTATCATCTATAATTAACCTGAGATGACAAAAACCTTCTGATTTAAGTATAATGCAGATCATGATACCATATGAGAAAAGAAAATAATACATTTAATTGTAATTATGAAGTCTCCAGTCTTAATTTTTGAATGATGTTATATAAATTATCAGATGCTATTTTGATTTATTGTAATTAGACAAGCTCAGTCTCCTCTAATGTTTCTCTTCATACTGGTTTCAGATTGTAAAGGATGCGTGCTTTCTTTGTTAGCTGCTTGCTAACAGCCCTGCTGTTCGTTGTTGTCTGGGCTGACGACCATCACTCTGAACATGGACAGCATAGCAACCACCTGCTCTCTACTCCTAATGCCGACTTTGCCTTTGCCCTTTACAAGGCTCTGAATGCCAAGGCTGCTGATGGAGACAACATCTTTTATTCTCCGCTGGGCATCTCCACTGCTCTTGCCATGCTGTCCGTGGCAGCGCGTGGTGAAACCCACAGCCAGCTGTTCACAGTCTTGGGCTACAGCAGCCTAAACCAGACACAGGTCAACGAAGCCTATGAGCATCTTTTCCGCATGCATGGGGACAACCAGAAGAACATGGAGCTAGATGTTGGCAACGCTTTGGCTCTGCGCTCCTGCTTGAATCCACTTGAGACATTCCAAAATGATGTCAGACGCTACTACCGAGGCGAGATCTTCAAGATCGACTTTTCTGAACCCCGCGATGCTGCAACAGAAATCAACACCTTCATTGCTAATAAAACGCGGGACAAGATCAAAGACATGGTGCAGGACTTGGACCCTGAAACGGCTATGGTGCTAATCAACTATGTCTACTTCAAAGGTAAACATGCATTTTCTGTACTATATCTTACTGTCCCAGTGGTGCATGATGTGTAAATGACTACGAATATTCACACAAATATGTTTCCAACAGGACAATGGAAGGATCCTTTTGAGAATGAACTGACCCACAAAGGAGATTTCCATTTGAACAACACAACCAAAGTCAAAGTGGACATGTTGTCAAGAACAGCTGTTTACAAAACCTACTGGGACCATAGCAGACAGACCAGAGTCATCATACTTCCCTATAAGGGCAGCACCTCTATGATGATCGTCCTACCTGATGAGGGGAAAATGAAGGAGGTTGAGACCCACATTGACAAGAACTTCATCAGACACTGGCAAAATTCAGTTGCTAATAGGTATGGATAATTTAAAACTATGACTTTTTCTATGTAACTGTTCCATGTCGTAGCCCCTTTTTGTATGTTAAGCAATGGACAAGGCAACCATAAGATTCTGTCTAACACTGGTGCTGGTATGTGTTTCCCAGTTTTCTGGCTCTGGACTTGCCAAAATTTTCCATCTCTTCTGATTTCTCCCTGGATGACACATTAAAAGAAATGGGCATGACCATGGCTTTTGTCGACAGCGCAGATTTCTCAGGAATATCTGACGAGGCTAAGATAAAAATATCAAAGGTGGGCAAAGTGGACTTTATTTAAATGAAGGTATTGTATCTTGTTACAGCCAAGACCATAACAGCTTTTCCCTTTTGGTACACAGGCATCCCACAAGGCAACGCTGAGCGTCACAGAGATGGGAACAGAAGCTTCAGCCACAAGCTTTGTTGAGTTGATTTGGCAGACCACTCCTTTACCATTCACAGTTGACAGGCCCTTCTTGGTTTTAATCCTGGAGAACCCCTCTGGAAGCATCCTCTTCATGGGAAAAATCAACAACCCCACTGCCATGTAAAGGTCCACGAGGAGTAATTTGGGAAAAGATTTGAGTTTCTCCTTTCATAGTTAATATAATAAATTATTCGGTCATCGTAAACACCATCACCTACTTGTTTTACTTGTGTTATTTTTGTCACTAAGGGATGTCACCTGAATAAAGAGCATTTTTATCAAGACCTTTTGAACAAGGTTGTGTGTTCATTTCCAAAAGTTACAGGAAAGAGATCATTGTTCATTTTTCCAGACAGGATGTGAACAAAAAAGATTTCAAATATCATTTAAAAAAAATGCTTCATACAGACAACAAGAGCTGAAATTTGCTGTCTGAGTTCTTTTTTCATTATCATGCGTCGGCCCTCTCAACCTTGCATGTGCACAGTAGAATTTCTTTTGCCTCCTCTACCTCTCTGTTGGTCTTTCCACAAACTGATTCACTTAAGAGGGTTGTGTTGTAAGACAAAGACAGTCTCAGCAAAAGAGAAGTTAGCACAAGTTTGGTTAAAAAAAAGCACACTCATGACTTATCATTCAAAAAAGTCTTTAAAAGGCTAATATAAAATGCTATCATTGCAAGATAATAGAAAATAATATCAAAAGGTTCCACAAAATCTACCTGGACCCCAGGGGACATGATTATCGTTCTGCCTGAAGAAGGGAAAGTTGAAGAACGTGTATCAATAAAAACTCCATGAGGCAATGAGGGTGGGGCAACATCTCAGGAAGAGCAGCCACCAGCCAATTCAAAGGTCGGTGGCTTTACTCAGACTAAAACATTCTTGTTTTGAAGACACTGAACTCCATGTTGCCTATTGAGGCATAAGTGTTTAGAAGAAAACATTGTGTAGCCTCTTTATAAACCAGTACATCGTGCATGCGTGACAATGACAATCAGTGTTGTGCCACAGGGTTTTATGATTCCTATTCAATAGTTTTTCCTGGTAAATGGGGGCAAATTTGTTGTGTTATAAAGACAGTATGATGAATAATTTTACCCCCATATATAGATGTAAGGATTACACAACCAATTCATGGTGTTGTTGGTCTCTACAACCTTTGAAAACTATGTTTTCTGTGTTTCTCTGTGTTCTTGGCCCAGTACTTTCTAGACAATTCCATATCTACTGATACCTTCTTGGATGACACATTGAAATAATTCGGCAACTTGATTTTTCTGGACTATTTAGTTCCAGATTAGAGTAGGTACAGTATGTTTTCCCTTTCATGGGTCAGGACATGGTGTTCCCCTTCTACTGCAAAATGATGAATCAGTTCCAGTTCTAAGAACTGAAACAGGCTTTCAGATCACAGGTGAAACATTTTTAAGACCCAAGAAAGAATCCAGTCCTCTGTTCAAGCTTTTAAGATTACCCTCAGTCTTATAAATACAAATACATACCTTGAGGTTTCAGTTACAATCCATATGATTCTTTGTCCATCAAAGTGATCTTACTGACATTTTTCATTTCTAAGGAAAATGACCATATATATCTGCTTGTGTCTCCACAGCATAAAGTACAGAAAAAAGGCTTAAAAAACTTTATTCCAGTCTCAGAAAGGACTTCCAGGACAGTGACAGGACTTTTTAAAATGTGACTTTTAATGCATGCAAGTATGATTAGATAATTATTCCCAGTTAGATCATACGTTGAATTTGGTCTTTCCCTATATAGCTTTTAGTATCTTTGCATTTCTACATTACAAATGCTTCCAGGACCAATATGATGAAACCCCTTCGGTTTAAATGCTAAGTAACAGATCAGTTTTGATGTGTAACCTGATGGCCATCAGCCTCACATAACTCTTCACCCTTTGACCTGTCAATAGTGGAGCTGCTGTAGATTGTTTTACACAATCAGTACACATAAACTTTGTCACTTTGTCCCCCCTGTCAGAGCCCACAAAAACAGCCACTTCTGCACAGAACACGAATAAGATTAGTGGGAATCAGAAAGCGAATCAGGTAACTCGTTAGAAGTGCAGAAACTCTCCCAATCTGTCCGTTCTGCAGAGCAAAAACAGGCACTGCCGGGGACTCTGAGCTCTGCTTTGCTAGCTAACATATGATAGTATATTCTGAGTTTACTTTTTATCTCCCTGTCTTTTCACTCACATGAGATTAAATTGAGAACAGCATGACAGTCAATTACCAAACTCGAAACTTGAAACTTGCTTGAGGTGTTCCATAGCAATTATTTGCTGTAGATTTGCAGTTGGAGAGCAAATTGATGGAAACTAAAAGCTCTGCATTGCATTGCACAGTAATACTATAGTTTGCTAGGCAGTTGGCTGCTCATTAGAGCAGCCTGTGCTTGTGTACTTGCTAAAGCAATGAGTCAGAGTAACCCTGCTTTTGCTCAGTTGACGTTATTATTGTCAGATCAGTATTTTGAGTTAAAGTGTGACAGCCAGTTTACTTGTTTTTTCGTTTACTTGTGCACATACGACCAACAATTTGGGATTGTGGACTCATCCTTGTCGACTTGTTCTCGTTTAGATGCGCGTGTAACGATCCAGACCGACTTGACCCTGTCCTCTCAGTCCAATACACAGTTCAGCGTTCGTGGCTTTCGTGGAGGGTAAATGAACCCAAAAGCCTCCAAAAACGCATCCACACTCCCCTGAGCCAAAAAAGAATTAGACTATTTCGTTCAGTTAGGTGGGCATAAAGAACACTGCACTGAATTGATCCATATGCAAAATGCTGTTTTTGAACCAGCTTGTGGTCTTTAATTAAAACCAGCAAAGTAACTGGAGCAAAAAAAGCCAATAAGTCACAGCTGCTGGAAATCGTTTCACCGAATAGTTGTATGATTTCTGAAACCCCCGTGTTCACTAAACTGTTGCTTGCTCTTTAAGCAAAGAGTAATAGTTTGTTGTTAGTTAAAAATAGGGTAAATTAAACCTAAATTTGATTATACCTGCATGGTCAATACCACTAATGCATGGGTATAACAACTAAATTGGCTCCTTGTCAAAGCAAGACCTCTTTATAATTCATTATTTGCTGGAGAAAAACCTGATTGTTATTGGACTTCTGGAAAATTCTGGACTTAGATAGTGGCAAAAATACTTATAAATAACCAATGAAAAAAGAATTACCGTAATCATATGCAAATGTGCCTATGATTAGGGTTATATTTTGAGAGGCATGCAGGAGTCAGAGCAAAGAAAACTTTCAGATCCAACATTGCAGATATGCTGGTTAGTCTGCACACACTGAAATAGTTTTTGTGTCTTGTTATATTGCTATCATTCAAATAATTTAATGTTAAATGAGTCTCTGCAACATGTGCAATGTATTTCCTTCGATAAAACAATGGTGTGAGGATGATGAGTAGCTTTTACTGGATAAATCAGGCTTTTGTATATATTCTAAAGTGTATATATGTGTGAAATAATTTCAACTTCATGTTAAATGCTCCATATTGTAAAAATATGTATTTTGTGTGGTGGCAGTGAACACTATTAGTGTTCACAATCTTTTTAATTGCAAAGAAAAACTAAATCCGCATTGTAACAGATATCTCCTCGCTCAAACAGAACTTCACAAACTCAACATCCTTTTGGAGCCTCAACACAAAGAGGCGTATGCCAGAGTCGAGCTCCATGGCTCTCCTTCTTCTGCTGCCAAATATATCTGATCTCTGCTCTTTTTGTGATTCCTGCCTGAAGAAGATCAAATGCGTGGTATGCATGCAAATGAAGCCATGATGCGACACACGGTGAAGTGGGCATCCATAATGCATTTCCCCTTCGTGTTTAAGAACGTGCAAGTCCTAACACCAGTTATTTTAGTGTGCTGCCTTCACAAGGCGGTTCTTTCTATAGATGTGACAAGAGCAGTACAGGCATCTCCTGACAGACAGAGGCTTACTGGCAGACAATGGCAGAGAGAAATGTAAAAAAAAAAAATGAAACGGATAACTGGCTCCTCTCAGGTTTTATGATCACACTCTATGTGTTCCAGTGTTCAATACAAACACGACAGTCTGTGCAGACACCGTTGTGATCTAAGTCTTTTTATTCACGTACTGCATGGTGTGATCAGATGTGATCAATGACGTTTACTTCATTACCATGCATACAAATACATGTATTCTTTCAGTTTTAGGACAATAAAAGTTAACAAGTTGTTTAAAAGAGAATCTGGAAAAATCCTGATCATTCTTGGACTTCAACTCTGTTGATTGAGGCTCATAAAATCAACACTGGATAATAGTAAAGGTTTCATTGTCAATGTGATGACACACTGTAACTTTTTTCAATATAAAAAAGTTGAGATGCTAAAATATTATGTTAAAATATTAAAATACAAGCATATTTTGAAAACGAGGAGCTCAAATTGAACTTGAACCCTTTTGAAAAAGCTTGATGTGAGGCTGGAGGAGGCAGAGAGTGGCAACAAAACCCCCAAATATAAGCAATGATGAGATAACGCATATTTTTTTCATCACGTATTATATATTCCAGCATTCAACACATGCATGACAGTCAAAACAGACGCTAACAACTGTGATCTAAAGAGGGACTGCCTAATCAATTCTCTTTGTTCATGTGCTAGGGAAAGTTTTAGAGAAGAGTGCAAACTTTTTGAAAGCCTTGTGACACTGAAATGCCTCTCCCTCACCTCAATGCAGAATTCAAGTTCAATTTTCATTTTGGTTTTGCCGTGTTATTTTTCAGAAAAAACATGTAGTAAACTTGTTTCCCTTTGTTTTGTATGTTTTCCCATTCAAGGCAATTCAAGTTAGAGACTAAATTTAATTTAGTATCCATTATACTGTTGGTAGCCAAAAGTAAATGAAAAAACAAAAACAAATCATATAGGACACATGCTTGCATTAAAACTAATATTGCTGTATGCTATCATAATAACTAATTGAAAAAACTAAATAGACAGTTGATATTTGTCTGTTTAATGTATTCCAGTCTTTAGTGTATTTAAGAAAAAGAGTGTCTTTATTTTTAAACAGCATGAGCCTCCAAGCTAATAAAGCCCTAAAAGTTAACACATTTTATAATTTCTCTTGTGGCTCACTACCAAATAAAACAGTAAAAAGGAACAGACCTGCAGGTGCAATTAGAATTTTGGGAAAAACTGAGGGAACTCAATGGCTGCATATGTGCATGTGTAGCTTTGGACAAGTCTTAAATGTATAGTAAATGAGAAAGGAGT